GTGTGAATATCATAGCTACATGGAGCGATGATAGAAGGGCACCAAGAATCCACTTGCAAAGCTTCCCACAAGATTGTTAGCATCACATTCAAACCAGACGTTCTGAAAATCAAAAGCACGAGCCCACAAGACAGAAAGTCTAAAAGCGAATGCTTTAGCCACCAATGGAGATGAAGCCGAAAATTGCTTAAAAACTACTGCCTTTAGAACCAAGCCTTCTGAATCTCTGCAAAATAGCTCCCCCACCCCCAATGCCTGCCGAATGGAAAAAAGATATATCAACATTGCACTTGATTTTGCCTAAAGGGGAAGGAGACTAAGAAAGAGGGGAAACAAAAGGTTTGGGAGTCAAATGCACATTCAAACAACACCTCGGCGAATCAAAAAACTCCCAGAAACATAGAATCAAAAAGTTGGATAATTAAAAGGCAGTTCATTGTTTAATTAAATAATGTTAATCATTTGGTTACTTAATAGGGTTTAGGCAAACGGGCCCCCAACCCGCCCGTTCCTATCCTATGCAGTGCATTGCTCCTTACCGCGGAGCCAATACCACTGGATCATTCATCACCATTTCAAAAACCAACCGTCATGTCCAAACGGTTATAAACTGCCTCCCGCCTTATTTTCTCTCCCCTTTTTCTTCTTCTTGGTGGTGTCCCAAACCCTTATCACTCTGAATTCTGACTCTTCCTTCCCATTGCTCTCTCAAGCACCGTCTTCGGTGCTTGAGAGATCACACAATACACTCACTGTACCACCACTTACTTGTTCATATAGTTATATATATAGCCATCTCCGTCATCATCATCCATGGCAGATCCAACCGCCATTGTTCCCTACCATGACCCATTTGATGATGATCAGTGCACCGATGATATCTTAATGTTCGATGAAAATCCCAGTCTAAACCTTTCCGAATTGCCTACATTGGCCCAACCTAATTATCTTCCTCCTCCTTCAGAACCTCCGGATGAAATCGCGGATGCAAATGATCCCTTCATGGATCCCTTTCTGTGGAGTGTTCTTAACGATACCATTGGGAGTTCACAAGCCGGCCCTTCAGAAATCCACGGTGAAACAAGCAACCACCACCACCACCAACAACAACAACAGCATCCACAAACGCAAAATTTGGATTTTGGAAACCCAATTCAATTGTCCATATGGCCTGTGCCACCACTCCCATATACTTGCTCTTGTTGTCAAGTGCTAAGAGAAATTACTCACACTGATGGTATTTAAATGTTTGTTTGATCAATTTGATGTGATGAATTTACTTTTTAGATGGAAATTGAATACAAATTTTATGTTTTTGTTGGTAGGGATCCATGTGACAAAGCTTGAGATTCATGGAAGACTAGGTATCATCTGTCATGCTGTTCTAGAGACTCGTTCCGGTGTCAATTGGAATACACAAAAGCCTCAGCATCAGATGTTCGAGTAAGTTGGATGAAAAATTAATATCTGTAATTTCACATTATGAGGGAAATTTGAATTCTTTTAGTAGAACATGATGAAATATGATGACGGTGGATTAGTCTTTTGTGATTTATTAACCTTTCCTCATTTTGGTAAATATATCGGAAGTGACTGAAACTGCATATTGAAAGTGAATAGCCCTTAGGTTGTTGATGTAAGCAGAATAATAATAGTATATAACAACAACTAAGCACCCTACCTCAACTTATATGAAACGGTCCAAACCCTCACTCTATGCGAATGAAAGTCTGGATTTCATCATCCAGCTTTGCAGACAAAGGAGGGGGTTGAAGAACGTTTCTGCTGAAATTCTTTAATATCCGGATATGACCCTATGAAATTTATGCATTTAGACCATGGATTGTATTTGTGTTGAAATTGCTTACCCTAGACTTATCGGGTAATGACTTCATTCTTGATGCAGTTTTTGCAAGAAAAGCATAGAGAGTGTGAGACAGTTCCTAGTTCAATATTGCGAAGGGCGAAAACAAGAAGGTTATGCTATGGTGCAAGATCCACTTTCGATCTTCTACGAAGCCTTGTGTGTTGGATTGAATAATGGGGATAGCAATCTGGATACTGATGATTTCTTTCAGGCATCCCCAACTGATTCAGGTCAGTAAGCTGCTCGCCTTTGTTCTGTATTTGTTGAATTATGCATTTCTGACCTGAAGTCAACTAATTTGGTCACTCATATTTCATTTTGATTGCCTATTACTTATTAGCCATTATATAGAATAGTTACATATTGCAAGATGATAAATTCTCATGGTTGAATTTGTTTACAGGTGAAGGCCAAATGAACCAGCCAGAGACAGTGAACCAGCCACAGGCTATGAACCAACCACAGGCTAATGAATTGAGACTTCCTAGGACCCTCGCGGCACAGGTTGTGATTGTTCTTCTTGCACATATAATCAGATTGCAACCCAAACTCATCACTTTTCGTGAATAACTTCTTTCATGAGTGTCACAATGATCATGTTTTATTGTTCTCCAAAATTTAATTGCTGCATTAGAGTTATTGCTTATAAGATGGAGGATTTTGCACAAATTAATTAATAAATACCTATTTGTTTCCATTTGTTAATTTTGTTATTTGTTTTGTACTGAGGAGTAGTGCAGAGGGAAAGAACAGCAAGTTTGAAACTGCATCACGTTAAAAAGTATTTCCATCTTCCCATTGATAATGCGGCTAAGAAAATGAATATATGCCCCACTGTGATGAAGAAGATTTGCCGCAGAGGTGGATTGTCACGGTGGCCTTATAGAAGGGTCCTCTCTCTCTCTCTCTCTCTCTCTCTCACACACACACACACACAAAATCTCTATCTCTCTCTTCACAAATAAATTATTGTTATTGTTGTTTATGTGGTTTTTGTTTTTCTAATGGATGCAGATAAAAAGCATTGAGAAGAAAATTGCAGCGAGAATGGAAAGTTTAAATGCGTATGACATGGAAGAAAGGAAGCGTGCTAAGGCGGAGATAGAGAGTCTTGAACAAGAACTGGCTGATATCTTTGCAGGAATCGAGAGAGAATGACAATTTCGTCTAACATGGTGAAATTTATTTCTCTTCAATTTTTGGTTACTGCAGAACAGAGGAATCAGTTTGGTTTCTTTTCTTTTTCTTTCTCTTTTTCGTGGCCGGAATTTAAAATGTATTTAATAGAAATTGAGAGTTCTTGACAGTAAATTGCCAATGTACACATTGAAATACAATTAGTCTACTAATGCCTGATAGCATGTCCTATTTTATTATTATTATTTTTTTAATGTGTTACTTGGAAAAAGATTTGTCTATTACTTTCAGGGTCAGCATCATTTTACTCAGAAATGTGGCTTAAAGAAATAGAATTCTAGACAGTTATGACAGAACGTAGAAGAGAATTTATCCTTGCTAATCATGAACATGAGTTGTTGAGATTCTATGGAAGAGTTACTTGATCTCTCTTCAAGGAGGAGGATACGAGCAGCTTTCGGAGAATATTTCGGGAATTCTTCAGTATTATTGATAGCAAACTATCGATTATTTTGTTATATTGCGAAGGTGTTTTTGCAAAGAGTGATGATAGAGAGTCCGACAGTCGGACTACAAATCATTTTCCTTTACCAAAACTTATGGGGGGAAATAATACTAACGGGGGCAAATAATAGTGTTCATGATTTATTGTGTTGTTTTATTTTAGTAGGGTTAATATTATCACGATGTCATTAATGTTCATGACATTAACATTTCGTGTATCAAACAAATTAGTCGTATTCGTCTAAATTGCTTTTACAAAAGAGTTGTGTGCCAAGGGAAAGGCAGAAACCCTTGAGAAGAGAGGTCATCTCATGGTTCGCATTTGGTCTCCATCTTATCTCTATGTGGCACAATGAAGGAAATAACATCCCAATCAATCTTGGTTGGAAAAAAGAAAAGAAAAGAAGAAGAGATCACACATCTATCAAATTTTTGACAAAATTGAGAATTGTCTTCTATTAGAGCAAAATCCACCATATCACCAGATAAAGAAAACTTTTCATGCCCATATTTCTTTTGGCTGGGGGATAATAGATGTTCAACAAGAGTGGAGCTCGAATTCTCACCAGCGTACAACATTAAATTTACTTATTTTAACTATATTTAATGTGCTAGTAAAAAACAGAATTAATGTGTTGAAGAGTAAAACTAAAGGGAAAATTACATATAAATGGAGTTAAAGTTCCATATTTACTTAGAGGCTGAGTCAAAGTTCCATATTTCTCTAAAATGGATTGCTGAGGTGGCACATGGTTTTTTACTATTCAGAAATTGTGGTGCCTAAAATACCCTTCCGCGAAGGTACTACTTTTTTGAACTGAAGGTACTACTTTTTGGCGTCCAGGTACCATGTTTTTTAAACACCCGCGAAGGTACTACTTTTTCTCCGAAGGTACTACTTTTTTGAACTGAAGGTACTACTTTTTTGTTAAGGAAGGGCATTTTAGGCACCATAATTTTTTAAACAGTAAAAAATCATGTGCCACCTCAGCAATCCATTTTAGAGAAATATGGAACTTTGACTCAGTCTCTAAGTAAATATGGAATTTTGACTCCATTTATATGTAATTTTCCCAAAACTAAATGTATTAAAAAAAGAATGAATATGTTAGTAATAAAATTACAATAACTCTACAACACAGAGGATCTACCTGTGTGAGTACGTATACTATGTTGATTAAGCAAAATCCAAATCAATTTTTTTCTTTGATTTTTTTTTTTTTTTTAAGTTAAGGGTAATTTTTTTCTTTGATGAAAAGGTAAGAGTAGATGGATACCTCAAAGATCTTAAATATACATGGGCCCACCAATTGATTCAATAATTTGATTGATCAGTAGATCTTCTGGCCCAAAGTATAAACCAAACATGTGTGGTCCTGGTTCTCCTCAAGTTATTCCTTTTTAGCATTTTTGGGCTTCCTTTCGCCTAGATGGGCCAATATTTCAAATCCATATCCGGACTTTCCTTCTTTTATTAAATCTAGTTAATTCTCCATTTCAATCTGATTCAGACTCCTCTCTCTCTCTCTCTCTCTCTCTCTCTCTCTCACACACACACATCTGGCAGGTCTCTCTCTCTCTCTCTCTCTCTCTCTCTCTCTCTCACACACACACACACACATCTGGCAGGTCAAATATTTCCCCCAAATTTTCCCTCCTTTTAACTTCTTTCTCTACTTTGGGTTCTCAGGACCTCTCTCTCTCTAATACACATATTTTTGTATAGCGTTGAAGTGATGGACGGAGATCAACAGTCCAATCCTCGAACGGTTGAAGAAGTTTTTAGAGATTTCAAGGGTCGAAGAGCTGGCATAATTAAAGCTCTTACTATTAGTAAACAAACCCTTTTTTTTTCTTTTACATTTTTGGTGTTTTATGTTTTAGATTTTTTCTATAAAGCTATTAAATATATATATTTTTTGTATATCACAACTGATTTTTTAATTGTTTTTTTGTAGATGTTGAAGAGTTTCATCGGCAATGCGACCCTGGTTAGTGTTTTTTCAATTTTTTTACTGCTATAAATTATCCGATTTAGTTAGCTTTTATATTTAGGTATAATGGATTAAGTAGTAGTTTTTTTTTTTTTTTTTCCTCTTCTTCTTCTTCTTGGTTGAAATATGCATTTGAGGTTTAGATATTGGAGTTCTATTGATAGAAGAAGCATTTTCTGTTTTCTTGTTGGTTGATAGTCTAATGGATTATCTTTTATCTTCATATTGTGTGCTAATTCCTTCTAATTTCTTTTATATTCGTCCTTACTAGGCTCAAATTCCTTAAATATTTATCTTTCTTGCTATATTTGTTGTCCAAGAATCTTATAAATTTCCTAAATTTGTTTTTCAAGAATCTATTAAATTTCCTAGCAAGCAAAGCAATTTCTTCACCAGATTCACAAGCTGACACATCACTAGTATCCCCTTTAATAGCTTTAGTGCAAGGTTTCTACCTTTCTTAGTTGGAGGATTATTGAGTTTATAGGTTTGTAGTGATTCTACCAAGTCTACTACGCTAATTTTGTCTATGTCTCTGCTTTCTTCTATGGTAGTTACCTTAGTTTTAAATCGCTCAGGCAGTGACCTAAGTATCTTCCTAACAACTTTCTTCTATAGGATTGGTTCGCTACTATTCACTAAGTCATTAATCTTAGTGTAGTATTCATCGAATGTTTCAAACTTAGTGGTTGACATCTGAAGTTTGGATATTTCCTTGTTAGTTGTTAGTCTAATGGATTATCTTTATCGTATATCTTCATATTGTGTGTGTGAGTAGTCAGAAGCCTCTGTCATATTATTTCTCCTTGGTACATGCACAATATCACATTTATATATGGACATTTGATTTTCATATTGTTTTGTCTCCTTTAATTTTTTCTAACATAAATCAGGTTGTAAAATTTAATATGTCCCTGAATGTACATGAAGGTGATTTTGATTGTTGTACAATTTGTCTGTGATAGATGTCTGAGTTTCTCATTTTTTTATTCTCTCCCAAAATTAATGTAACCTTATTTTATCACATATAGTTCCGAAATTGAATAATTTATATTAATTATTCTTGAGTTTAGCTCATATTTTCTAAATTGCATATGAAATTTGTAATTTCTTCTTAACTGTTCAGTTTGCAAATCAATTTTGAGTCCTAAAGTCAGCTTCACGTGCAGCTACTAGGCAGTTGGGGTTCTAAATTTCTAATAACTAGAGAAGTGCAATTGCCATGTGTGCGCTCCTTTCCTCATGGTATTTGCTACTTCTACCGTGTTGGTTGGTTCCAAAAATTTCTTCTTCATTTATTATTATTATTTTTTAAATTCAAATTCTCTAACATTGCCAAGTGGAAAGTTTTTGAAAAAAAAAAAAGAGTCAAATAAAAGCTGATCTCTTACAAAAGTTTATAGACAAAATAGGTATTGACTTAAAAGGATTGAATACATAGTGATAAAATGATTATGTGGGATGGCAACGACCAGCCCAATTGATAAACAGTTGATTAGTTTACTTAAAACATTTAGATGAGTACACATGAATACATGATACTGATTCTTGTCATTCCCTTTTCTAGGTTCTTATATCCAAATTTGACCTAGTTGATATATATTTGAACTAATCCTACCTGCAGAACTTGTTTGCTTGGGATTGCAGAAAAAAGAACTCTGTGATATATTTTTTGTTATTTTGTTTGAAAATCCAAGGGCTGAAGATGTCATAGCATTAGGGTTTTGGAAGAGTGGGAACTACTTCAAGTTTTCCATTTATATTTATAAAAAAAAAAATACCCACCTCAAAGGGTATACTTGCTGTAGTCGTGAGCATTGGTCCTCGGACTGGTTTTTCTGTGTGGACAGGTCTTTTAGTCATTTACAATTTCTGTAGACCTCAATCTTCACTGTAATTCTTATATCCATTTATATAAATTTATTGTCAAATAAATGTTTGGCCTTTTTCTTGAAATCGTCCCTGTCCTCATTCAGTGATGCACAAATTACAATCACCGGTATTGTTCAAAGAAAATTTAATTTTATTGTCTTTCAATGTTAATTTTTTTGACAGCAAAACACCAAACAATAATGAAACTCAATAACAGATTTATATAAAACTTGTGCTTGGTAGGGTACTAGGGTGGAGCACAACCACTGGTGCACAAGGACGGCAATGAGCAAGCTGCCTTTTAAAATGGCTAGACAGCTCCGTGACAACCCATATTGTTGTGAAACAAATATCAATTTCATTTATTTAACAAAGGGTTACGGTACAATCCTTTGGGTTGTATTCCTTAAGCAAAGATTATCTCCTTTGATTCTATTTCCTTTGCGGGATCAGGCTCAAGGGGTGCATCTTCAAATCTGCTGTTGAAGAAGGCTGAAATAGAATTAGGATCAAGGGACAATGAAGCTTGATCTTGAATAGTTGTTCAACAATTATTTGGACTGGTCTTGCGGAATAATGATATGATTTGATGTGCTTGTTATTCTTTGTCTTCAAAGCTTGAGTGCTAGAGAAGCATATAAGAATTGGTAGTCTTCTTGTGTGACAATGAAGCTTGATCTTGAATAGTTGTTCAACAATTTTTTGGACTGGTCTTGCGGAATAATGATATGATTTGATGTGCTTGTTATTCTTCGTCTTCAAAGCTTGAGTGCTAGAGAAGCATATAAGAATTGGTAGTCTTCTTGTGTGACCCTTTTGTGACCCATGAATCTCTATATATAGACGCAATGGAGTAGAGTCCCAATATATGAGAGTTCCATTGATCTAAACATGTCATACTTGTGATGATAATGCATATGGATAAATCACATGTGATACTTACCCAGTGGATTAGCGAACCCATTTTTAAGTGGGTTTAGACCTGTCTTCAACTTGGTTTGACCTGCCGACTCATATTTTATGAGGTTCCAATTTGAATTTTTTGACTGACCAACTGAAGATTTTTTTTATTTTTTTTTTACAAGGCTGAAGAAATTTTTTGACTTTTTGATCATTTAGACAGTGATTAAATCACTATAATATTTTTTGTCTACAATGGTATGATAGAAGATATAGTAAACATAGAAACTTGACTTGTGATACAATTGAAGATTTGATAACTAATATATCTATACAAATTAAATGACAACATCATGCTTGGATATCATGATTTTGACTGGTGTAATTTTCTTGGGGAAACTTATGTTTGCCTTGGAAAATCTCTATTTCCTTTATGTATAGATTTCCTCACATTTTTTTTAGATCTTCTTATCTGATCTACGCTCTAGCGTCTCTATTCAATTACTAATAAAGACTTGCCTTTGTGTCTTGCATTGCTTCCTTTGTGACACTGTTAGTTCAATTGAACTTTTATATTTGATGCTGAGATATATTTCTTGAGTTTGTCACATTGAGTTTCAACCGATATTAAATTACAGAGAAGGAAAATCTTTGCCTTTATGGATTTCCGACTGAGCAGTGGGAAGTCAATTTGCCTGCTGAAGAAGTGCCTCCAGAACTTCCAGAACCTGCATTAGGTATCAACTTCGCTAGAGATGGTATGCAAGATAAGGACTGGCTATCCTTGGTTGCTGTCCACAGCGATGCATGGTTACTTGCTGTGGCCTTCTATTTTGGTGCTAGATTTGGATTTGATAAAGCTGATAGGTACTTTTTCTCTTTCTTCAATAGATGCTTGGTTTGGCTACATAAATAACTATGTCTGAAGTGGAATTGGAAAAGGGTGAATGTAGACAGTAACATTTGTTTTCAATACTTTTATTTCAATGTCTTGCTTCTTTATTAATGGGTTATAATTCATTAGTATTTTTAGCTCTCCCCTTCTAACTTAAATATTCTGGAAACCTTTATAGATCTGTGTTAGCAGGAAACTCTCTTCCTATTTTGTGGCACATTGAATGTGGAATCAGGCAATGTGTGGTTAAATGGGTAACATAGTAGAATGTTATGCGTAATAGAGGGACACTTTTTTCATGCTTGACATTTATTCATTGTTGTAGTGTTTTATTTTATTGATTTTACAATCTTTTCAACTGGCTTCTCACTAATTGGTGAGGGTAGGCTTATTCCAGGTTTTAGTTTAAAGACACTGTATTAAATTACTTATGGAATCAGTATTTTAACATTTAGCACATTTGAGAGAAAAGGGTGGTGGAGGTGGAGGTGGATAGGAAAAGAGGAGAGGGAGAGAGAAAAACAAAATTGGAACGTCCATTTGAGGATAACTGATGGAGAAACATGCACATGCACTTATGTTCTCTCTCTCTCTCTCTCTCTCTCACCATTTTCAATTTGGTGTTCTATGAGTTGGCCTGTTTAAAATGATAGGATGTGCTTATATTACTAACTTTGTGGGTGAATGCTTGAAGCTTTTGATTGTATAAGCCAATTGAGGTTATATATCGGGATCATAATGACTTCTTATTCTTGGGGGTGTGAAAAAGAATTTTAAGTTGTATTGGGACCGACTGTTTTAAGGAAACAATAGTAGGCACGATGCAGACGGAGATAATAAAGCAGAATGAATTATAGTAGGATAGGTAAATTGGAAGTTTGCCTCTGTCATATTGTGTGATCAATTCATTTCTTTAAATCAATTAAGATGGTTTTACCTTGTGTAGTTAAAACCAATAATTGGGTTTATTGAGAAAAAATAACGTGATGCACAATAAAGATAATGTTAAAGTAAGGGAAAGGCCAAAACTAACATGGGTTTAAGAAATTCTGGAAATATGTGATAGCATTTGGTTTTGACTGAAGTTGTAGCCTTATATAGAGCATAATGACAACATGATGCATGTAGTTGAGATCAATTAGTTGGGATAAGGTTTTGTTGAGTTGAAAATTGAATTCAAAATTGTTTATGCTACTGAGTTTCTTCACCACTTCTAATGGTTCCGCTTCTCCCTCTTAGTTTTAGCTAGTGTTAGTTTCCTCATTATGATATTTTTCTCATCAAAGCATGGATTGGGACTTTGGACACAATTGTGAACGGGATTGAGACACAGTAAATCTTATTAAAGTAGGATGTGGAAAAGATGAGAACATGGCAATCAAATTTATATTATCAAATGTTCTACGATTGCAACGAATAACTTTTAACTGATTAATATAATAATTATCATCACTCCTGCATAGAGAAAGGTCTAACAGGACATGACTTATATTGCAATTCTAGTATATGTAAATATGTACATCTAGATACACACATAATTCAATGAATCCTCTCCTAGATCTATATCCACTCCTTCAAAGAAAAAAGAAAAAATCTCTTTACTTTTTGATTTCTAGATACATTGAAATTTATATAAATTTTATGGTTCTAATTTGTTCCCCTGTGAAAAGAATATCGTATCCATTGTTTATGATTTATTAATCACATGCTACCATTTGTTCAAGAAGTGTCATTTTGCATATTAAACTTTGAACATGTTCAAGACGTGTTGTACATATGCCGGGAATGTCCAAAAAGTCTGTTTAAACACTATCCTTCATAGGAGTGTTTTGTGCTTCTTAGTTACTAATACTCTTCATTACTTTCGCTACTTGAATTATGAATAATATGCGGCATAAAAGGCTACCTGGGAATGGTCCTGCTTAGGCAGGATGCTGGGAGGGATAGGCTGGAAACAAACCCAATATTTTTCATTATAGGATCATTATAGTGCATAGAATGTCTGCTTTGAACTTTAAAGCGGTATTTCTCGTGATTGTCATGTTGAGCTTTCACCACATAATATGCAACATGCATGTTATAAATTGTAGCTATTTTCTTTGTACCCAGGTGACCCAATCATTTTGATAGCATTGAAATTGGGAGTATGGTTAAGTGTGATTATAAATGCAACAAACTTTTGTTTTTTCTTGAATTATGAAATGTTTTACATTCCTCTTAATGGGACTGCATATCATTATGAGGACTGCATTCCATTTGTTAGAAGGATAAAAAAGACTGAACTTGTACTTATCAAAAAAAAAAAAAAGACTGAACTTGAATATAAAACATGGGCTCTATGAAATGGAGCAAACAACTCTTGCTTTGTTTGAGTTTATTTTAAAGTTTGACACTTATAGCCAAAACCATGACTTAATTTTATACAGTGGGGTGCTGTTAATACGCTTCATCTTCCCTATGACATCCTGGTGTTCATAATGCAGGAAGCGTCTCTTCAATATGATAAATGATCTTCCAACGATATATGAAGTCGTGACAGGGATGGCCAAGAAACAAGCAAAGGAGAAGTCATCAGCCTCGAATCACAGCGGCAACAAATCTAAATCGAACTCTAAGGTACCAACCTCTAGTATCTATTTCTCAATCCCACTGCATAACTCAAATCGCTGGTCCAATAATGCTGGTTAGTTTTTAAAATTGCTTAAATGAAGGAGGTAGCCTGATGCTTCATATAATTTTGAAAATACAAAGCGGCTTGAGATTACTGTTCCAGTGGTAAATTTAACCAGTAGAATAGTTGCTCCTGATTTTCACTTGACCATTTTGAATGGGATGGATGGAATTTTTGAGAAATGTTTAGGTACTTGAAAATCAGGGCACGTGGAAGGTAGATATATGCTTAAGTCAAATTCAAGGAAACCTTTATATCAACTACATCTTTGCGTCCATGTAAATGCTTACAGAACCATCATCGAGGCTCATCTAAAGGAAAAAAGAAAAAAAGAGCACCTTTGAGGGCAAATTTGTCATCCATCTTTAGGCAATTAGGCCCCTCTTTTTTTAATTGGAAGTCCGTGTTATTCCTTCATTTATCTATCCCAGAAATAGTATTAAAGAAAGGACTACTGAAATTTAGTTAGAAACTGTTGACGTTTTAGTGTAATTTCTTGAAAAACTTGTTTTTTTTTTTGTTTTTTATTTCTTCTCTCACATTTCTATGGTTAAAGCAGCAAGGCTCTGTCTCTCAGGGCAAGTATACAAAAACATTGCAACTAAGAGATGAGGATGATGATGGTTTAGAAGAGGAAGAGGATGAAGAGCATGGGGATACATTGTGCGGGGCATGCGGAGAGAATTATGCGTCTAATGAATTCTGGATCTGCTGTGACCTCTGTGAGAAGTGGTTCCATGGCAAGTGTGTAAAAATCACCCCTGCAAGGGCTGAGCATATTAAGCAGTACAAATGCCCATCGTGCAGCAACAAGAGAGCACGCCCTTGAATGTAGCTGGAGAGGTGGACTGTTGCTAGTAGTATTCTTCCAATGTGGATTCTTCTAATTGTCTAGTTGGTCAGGTTGTCTAGTCTCGGCATTGAACATGTTTCCCTAAGCTTTGAAAATCTTAGATATTATTGTCTAGGTAGCGCAGATGTGGTTACTAGTGTAGGTCACAAAGCAGGTTGCAATTATGCTGTTTGTTTATTCCTCTACTGGAATACCTATACTTGGGAGGGAAACCTTTTCCCTGTCATGGTAGAAGGATTCAATGTTAGCTCCATTTTACATTTTTTTAGGCTACCTTTGTTCCATGTCTTGATTAAATCGATGCTTTATCCGCATAAGATGGTCTCCAATGTTAGCTAGAAGCCATGAATTTGACAAATATTTCACTTGGTAGAAGTTGTCGATCTCATTTTATTGATTTGTGAGAGAAACCATGCCTAAGTTTGGTAGCGTAGATGATACGCATGAAGCCACAGAATTAACAATGAAAACCAATTTGCTTTGCCTCTTTAAAAACTCATTACATCAGGAGATATAACACAGATTTGGATTGGAGCTACTCAAGAGTAAACTTATGTAGAATTAATTATGAGTCAACCCTAAAATTGATCTGTTGTAAGTGCTGGAAGGGATCCTTTGTAATACATGATAAGCATCCATATTCTGTTTAGTTTGGCTTACTGAGCATGAAGAAACAATTAGAGAGTACTTTGCCATTAGTGACATCCACATCTTATTACTCTAAAATAATGGCCTGACAGGGAAGAACCTATAGCCATAATAGCCCCAACAAAATATAAAATCCTACCAACATCCAACATCCAACATCCAGATATATTAAACCATAGAAGTTTTAATACTGCTTAAGGCATGAGAATAGAATCCTACATTTCTTAAGAAACAAAATTTTAGAAAAAATACAAAAATATGTGTTCTGTATAAAAAGTTCTTTCTATGAAGGAATTATTTCCGTAGAAGTATGACAATGAAGTGAGAAAGGGTCCCTCCAAGAGACGGACATATAGTGCGGTAAGAGTATGTGATGTAAATCAAAGAGAATCACTTCCTATAAGGACCCTACGCCCTCAGTTACTTCAGCATCAATTTCCACACTATTTTTTTGTGTCCCCCACAACCCCCCCCCCCCCCAAGCAGCGGTGGAAGCAGCAGTGGAAGGTAGTGTAACTTCCATGCTCAAGTTGCTTCATGAAGATGCCCTTATTCTTGCTAGATATATCGTTGACTCTTTCACAGAGACGCCTTTGCACATAGCTGCATTGCTCGGACACCTAGAATTAGTTAAGGAGATTCTAAGACGAAAGCCTGAACTAGCCGGAGAGCTAGATTCTCAAAGATCAACGCCTCTTCATTTGGCATCGGCAAAAGGGTATGTTGAAATAGTAAAAGCTTTGCTATTGATCAATCCTGAGATGTGCTCTGCTTGTGACCGCAATGGAAGAAACCCCCTGCATGTTGCAGCCATGAAGGGCCAGATTAGTGTGCTGCAAGAGCTGGTTCTAGCCCAACCTTACGCTGCTCGTGCTCTATCAGACCGGGGTGACACCATATTGCACATATGTGTACAAACACAACCAGCTGGAGGCTTTGAAGCTCTTGGTGGGAAGTATGGATATGATCAAGATTTTGTGACTTCTAAAGACAATGATGGCAACACCATACTACATCTAGCAGTGGCTGACAAACAAATTGAGGTATTGTGTTCACTACCTTTACTATCTTAAGGTCCATGTAAAGACCACCTTTTCTGTGTACCTTTTCTATCAATCTCCTCCTATTTTCTAATAGGCCCATAAATGAAACTGCTAAGCCTAAACCTAGCTTACCCGCAACCTAACATGGCTCTTTCAAACCAGTACTTTTGGATTTGGACATATTTTGGCACTCCCCAAATCCAACTCGGTTGGAGTTTTCTAAAACCGCATGGTATGATATTGTGCACTTTGAGCCCAAACCCACACGGTTTTGTTATTGAGTTCCACCCCAAAAGGTCTCGTACCAATTAGAAATAGCATTACCTACATATATAGTACTTTTACTTTCCACACCTAAGCGATGTAGAATTGTACACTTGTAGTCTGCAAGCATGGTAACCTGCCAGTGCCTCATATCCGCCCACAAGGTCGCTACAATCACCCTTCCCCCCCTTAGGGGCCTAACGTCCTCATTAGTCACACTTTCGACTAGGTCATACTTTGATACCATTTGTAACGACTCACTCTACCACATGGTATGATATTGTCTCTTTTAAAATCAAACATATATCAGTTATAAAAATGTGTGTTTTCAGATAGACTTATAATTCTTAAAATAATTTTCTGTTTTCTAAGTTGTTGATAATTGTTTTCAGAAAACTGAACCTAATTATATCGTTAATGCTTAATACAATGGTAAAAACCAAAGTAATGATAACAATAAATGGCATGTTGTGATTCTTATCTATCCCTTCTAAAACCTATATATACTAAATGCAAAAAACAAATGTGCAGGCTATAAACTTTTTGCTTACCAATACTACAATAGAAATAAATGCCCCCAATGCATGTGGACTCACAGCTATGGACATTTTAGCATATAGTCGAAGACATGTGAAAGATATGGACATTTTAGAATTCCTTCAGCAAGTTGGAGCTCTAAAATCAAGAGACACTCAATCTGTGAGGGCCAAAAGTTCATCTGTATCGCATTCCAATCATCTAAAACCAATTTCGCTGTTGGGATCACAAGAAACCAGCGGTTGGGAAAAACATTTCAGGAAGCAGGATGCCTGGTTGGACAAGCAGCGCGACGCATTAATGGTAGTAGCATCCCTCATAGCAACCATGGCTTTCCAAGCCGGTATCAACCCTCCCGGAGGTGTTTGGGGGGACACCCGAAAAGCAAATTCTCAGGTAGGTAGTAGTAGTAGTCGTAATGACGACACCCCACCACACATGGCTGGTACTTCCATGATGGCTGACACGATCCCAGTGGTGTTCGACATATTCCTAGCCTGTTACACAACAAGTTTCATCGCATCTCTCAGTATAATTTTGTTGCTCACAAGTAGCCTACCATTCAAGCGTAGGGTGTTTATGTGGATTTTGATTGTGATTATGTGGCTGGCAGTTTACGCAAATGCGTTTTCCATAATTGCCATCACACCACTCCACGAGCGCGTGCTAGTTTGGGTTCTGGGAAGAATTGTTATGATAACAGGCTTTGCGTGATGACTCTTCTTCTTGTTGTACACACAATTCGCTTCATAGTGTTTGTAATCAAGAAAATATCCAGAAGAGTCGGAAGATGCAGAGGGAGGGCAAGTTCAAGTTCGACTGGAATGAATAGCACCAGTACTGTTTGACGTGTGCGCATTATGAGTTACTTTCATGCATCAGTGTTCATCATGTTCTGTATTTTAGTTGTTGTGTATGTGCTGCATGTTGATCTTGTATAATTTATTTATCTACAATAATGCTGTTGGGCCTTTTTTTTCTTGTCTGTCATATGTATTTGATGTGGATGAAAAAACAAAAAAAAAAAACTTTTAGGTAAAATAATTTTGTAACTTACAATGTTGGTGTTCGATGACTATCGTGTCTAATGGTACAATATCTTTTTTTAAATAAATAAATAAAAAATAAAAAAAAAGTAAAAAGGGTGTCTAACGGTTCAAATCTTTCAAATAACATTGTAAGAATTTTTTTATCGAGCTGCCGTTATTGTTTTGATGCATAGTGGTGTGTGGGATTACGAAATCTTACCACCCTATTAAGGGTATATTTTAAGAGCAACCATAGATAACAGTGGTGTGGGGGAGAAGGGGAAAAGTTCAGCCCTTATTTCATTAGTTTTTAATGGAGGGCGGAATAATATGTAATTACTAATTTAGAGATACTTTCTATTATTCGAAGTCTCTAATGAGGGCTAAAAAAAAAGTCATTTCTACAACTCTATAATTGATAATAATACAAATGTATATTAATGATGGTCAATGGAAATTATTTCTAGAACAACTCTATTATTGATCAATAATACCACATACAGTCAAATGTGGATTAATGGAAGGCCGCTAATTACAATCAACAAATAAATAAAGAACAATGTTTGCTTTAGACTGTATAAGAAAAAACTTTCTTCTTATAATAAGGTGGCCCAATAAACCATCAACACTTGTTTAAGTTATAAAAAGAAAAATATATATATATATAAAAATAAAATAAAATAATGACTTCAGGCGCATCGATGTATATTATTTCTGTCTTTTGAATATAAGATCAAATATTGTTCTGGAGATATATATATTAGATCGGCATCTTTCAGTCATATATGAGAGTTGAGACAAATAATCAATATAAATTCATGAAAAATGATATATATCATGAATTCATTTTCATAATACCAATCGTGAAAGACTGACATTCTATTTATTAGCAACGTATTTGTTTTTCTAGGTTTTTTTGTTGATATAGAAATAAAAATTTTCCTTTTTTTATTTTTTTTTCTTTTACTTATATATAAATTTTAAAACTTTTCATTTTCATCTTCCTTTATTTTTCTTTCCTTTTCTCATCCCAATATTTCCTAAATTTCAAAACAGTCCATATTTATTTTCTTATCTTTTGTATCAATTACAAACTTTTCATTCAAATTTAATTGTTTAAAGATGATTATCACCAAAAGTTATTTAATCTGGTATAATGTATCGTTCATACATTATATATAATATGTAATTCTGTGTTTGAGAGAGACAACATTATCATTCATATCATTCATGATAAAGCCAACGTAGGCTTAGGGTCATTCCCCCACCTGGCCCCACTCCTCATAATATGTGGTGTGTATATATATATGGACCATAATTAGGTCATTACTATATATTTTTTCCAAATAATGTTTGATTTTAGATTCAAAAGATAAAAATAATATATATCACTGCTTGAGAGAAAAAGATAAAAGGGTCTGTTTCTATTCCTTGTAGTTATTATTTTTTTTCTTTTAAAACTTAAATATTTATTGATATTTTATTGGGCCACCTCATAAGTTCCTTCTTATGCAGTTTATGACAAGTTTTTTTTATAAATAAATAGATGAAAAACGAAAATGAAAAGTATCGAGATTTTAAGTGAAAAAAACCCTCAAATTACATCTTATATTTATACAACTATTATTTCCTTAATTTGTTATCCTTCCTGTATCTAATTAACAACAAACTCATCTTGACTAGATTTCTCCTTTCTTTTTTTAAGATAAATTTTTATATGTTCATGGTTAGTTTTCAATTTGATAACTATCTTTAAATCCTTTTTATTTTTTTTTATTTTTTTTTATTACCATATTGGAGGGCTACCTAATGTCTTCGATATTACCAACAAAGAAGAAAATTAGCACAAGTTGCCTAATAGGTCGTCGTATTAGCACCCAGAAAAATGTTTCCCTTGTTTACGTTCACACAATGACTTATCGTATACTCCGTACTCCGTAATTGACAAATATATATATATATATATAATTGCCAAAATCAATTTTTCATTTTATCTGCCATCTGCAACGGATCTATGTCGTCAATCATACAGACAGAACAGAACAAATCTATGGCACAAACAGAGGGAGGAAGAGAGAGAATGAGACATCTAACGAGCCTATTGGATGTTGAGAAGGAAGAAGAGATACAGATAGAGAAAGCTAGAGAGAGAGAGCTTCACCAAGCAGCCATCAACGGTACAGTGACATCTCTCCTAGAGCTTCTTCATGAATACCCTCTCATCCTCGACACAATCACACCACCATCTTCCGATTCCGAGTCCGACTCGGTTTTGCACGTCGCAGCTCTTCTGGGTCACCTCGACTTCGCCAGAGAACTACTGAGTCGGAAGCCCGAGTTAGCCGGCGAATTGAATTCACACGGCTCATCGGCTCTTCACGTGGCATCGGCAAAAGGGTACCCGGAAATAGTGAAAGAATTGGTGTTGGTGGATCCCGATGTGTGTTTTGTATTGGATCATGATGGGATGTCTCCTCTTCATCTAGCTGCAATCAAGGGCCGAGTTGCGGTTTTGACCGAGTTGGTCCGAGTTGGACCGGAGGCGATTCGAGTGTTGACCGGTGGAGGGGACACTTGTTTTCATTTGTGTGTGAAATATAATCGGTTGGAGGCTTTGAAGGTGTTATTGGTTGAATCTGTGAAGAAAGATGAGTTTGTGAATTGGAAGGATCTTGATGGTAACACCATATTGCATATTGCAGTGGCAAGGAAACAACTAGAGGTATGTTTTCTCTTCTTTCTCAACAAAAAACTTTTGTAAGTTACCAATATAAATTTTTGTTATAAATGTCCATTAATCCAAAATCATGCAATCAATCAATTTTTTTTTTTTTTTTTTTTTTCACTAGTCCCCTGAAAATTCATCTTAATTCTGAAAAATTGCGTATGGTAAGATGTGGTCTCCAAATTTTTGGAGTTGTTCTACGCTTGAGGTTAGCTCACAAGGGTTCTAATTTATATTATATTTGACACAAACTCATCAAATTCAATACCCTTTTAACCATTTTGGGTGTCTCATTTTATTCTCTTGTAAAGCCCCAAAATGCACACAACTCGACTCTGTTTCACCTCAATGCTGGTTGGCTAGTTTTGATTCAATGCTGCTCGGCATGAGTGCCGATTATACTGTATGGCTGTGATTGAAAAACACACACAAACACATGTTGCTGTGCGTTTCAATCCCAACCCTTAATTGTTGTACAACACCGATGCTGTACAGCAGAGGATCTTGGTCCGTGCTATTAACTATGCTCGGTCATGGTATGGTAGCACTTTGTTTCACTTTTATAGTACCTCTGTGTATTCCCTACCCATGTGAGCATTGCTCAGGGCTTTGCTTTCACCAAGCGAAGCTTAATTTACAGAAACTCTTCAAAATCTGAATAGATTCGCCCTCTAATTAATTTCTCTTCATTTTTTCAAACATCAACAAGAACAATACATTCTGATTACAAAGTCCAGTTTTATTGCTATGAGATGCTCGTCATTCATTTACACAATGCAGATCATAAAAATTTTGCTCACCAACACCGATATAGAAGTAAACACGCGAAATGGAAATGGTTTCACAGCATTGGATGTCTTGTCAAAAAGCCCTAGAGATTTAAGAGACATGGAAATCAAGGAGTGTCTTCATCTCCACGGAGCAACAAGAATTGATCATACACCGACAACTATTGTCAATATAGCAAAAACCCCTTCAACTACACACCCAGAGGTCCCAGACTCGAACAATAGCATTACGAAAAATCAGCAGCCACAGAAGCAAAAGCATATTGATTGGTTAGGCAGGAAGCGAAGCTCCTTAATGGTGGTGGCTTCGCTTCTTGCCACCGTGGCCTTCCAAACCGGTATGTCACCACCAGGCGGTGTTTGGCAAGACGAGTATACGGTAGACTCCAATGGCAACCCCGTAAAGGATCCACACCACGCGGGTGACTCTGTGATGGCCTCTAACATCCCCACGGGATACGGGCAGTTCATGATCTTCAACACCATTGCTTTCCTAGCATCATTGAGCATAATCTTGCTGCTCATTAGCGGATTGCCCATCAAGCGACGCAGGTGGATGTGGCTTCAAATGGTGACAATGTGGATTGCATTGACGGCACTGGCCTTTACATACTTCATAACATTGATTCACATGACACCAAAACATGTTGAGGGTACTCTCTACCATGTGACTAAGATTTCAATGCTGGGATGGCTGTCCGTGATGGGCATTGTGTTCATTGGCAACGTTGTTAGGATGCTCTTATGGCTGCGCACAAAGTATAGAGACATAAAAGAGAGAGAGCCGCCAAATGAGACACAGGAAAATGAGAATGATGAAAACCTCTGAGAATGAGAATGAATTGCACAAAATTAAATCGAATGAATGTTCTTTGTGGTTTGTTTGTAGAAGAATATGGCTTTTGTTGATAGCTGGGTAAGAAAATTCAAGTTTGTGTACATGATATGTAGTACGCTGTCCTACAATTTGCTTGGTTCTTGGTTCTGTTAGCCATCAAAAATCAATAAAATTGAATTAACTTTGTGCAAGTAAAGTGCAGACAGCCCATTGGAATAGGTGATGTTGAGATCAGAATGGAGCAACCTTCAATTGCATCAAGGCCTCTCTACCTACTGCAAGTATGCAAAAACAATCACAATGGAGCAATAGAAAATGAAAAGATTTGGGTAAATTCAATTCAATTCAATTTGAGTATTTTATATATATATATATATATATATAAATGATTTTACACAAACGGGTGCGTTTAGTAACGTTTTCGTTTTCTGTTATTGCACTCTTAAGAAAACAGAAACATGATTTTGCTTTCTTGAGTGAAAATAGAGAACAGAAATGATATATATTAACACTTGTTGCCACAAATTTGAAAACATAAAACAATAACTGTGTTTAGTAATACAACATATTTGTTACAAAATATACATAATATTTTTTTTTTTTTTTATTTTTTTTTCATTTCTATTTTATTTTTTTCACGGCAAGAATTTTAGGAGTTAGTGATTAGAGGGGAGAGTAGATGACTTAAACACGAACTTTTGGACACAGGGAGAAACCCAACCACTCAGGCACGACACTTGCTTCCATTAATATCAAAAAGCCATAAATCTAGAAAATCTAATTTAAAATTATAAATCTTAAAAATAACCAATACATCATAAGTACAAAATTATATTAGATATACCAAGACAAAAACATTCCCACCAATTATCAATATAAATACATGTATACGCATGATATATATATTTATTATATGATATATAATATATTTAGCCTATGATGATTTATTATGAATAAAAAATATTAAATAATATATCTTATATGTAATAAAATATATATTGCGTTATAATATTGTAAAGTAATTATAATTTAATATTTACATATAATATAATATAGATATGATATATAATAATATAAAATATCTTCTGCTTAATAATTTAATAACATTATATTCTATATCAAAAATTATTTTGTCACAAAAAATAATTTCATTATTATTTAATATATTATATATTAAAATATATTTTTATCAAATAAAAAATAATATACAATATTTAATATATTCTATATTAAAAATATATATATTTTGTTCAACTTAGTATATAACATAAATAATATGAATTTTATTTAAAATGAATAGTGTCTGTGCAATAACATTAGAGAAACGTTTCTGCGTTACAGTGCCGAAAACATAAGAAATATCATTCTTATGCTTCTTCTTTTCTTCACAAAAATTAAAAACATTTTCTGTTATAAAAAAAAATAAAAATATTTTATTGAACGCGATTTTTGTTTTGGTTTTGCCTTTTTAAAAATTTATAACAGAAAACAAAAAACGTTCTTCCTTACCAAACGCAACCGTAATTAGTTATCTTTGATATAGAAATTGACATATTCTATTTGAAAATAGGATAGTATTTGATTGGATATAAGGCCAAAGCAACCTTTTGCGGTCATTTATTTTTTCCAAATCAATCCATCTTAGCCATTTTAATTCTAAATAGGGATTGGAATCTCTTCTGTCCATTATTTTTTTTGTATAATATGTTCTCAGACTAAAATAGTTATCGTCATCATCCTTTGAAATTACCGTTTTGAATCGATTTAAGTGTAGTCAATGCCTATGTTACTTGGTCATTTCAAACTTGATTGATATACTAATTTTTCTTTTTCTTTAACAATTTAAACACACACACACACATTTACTTTAAAGGCTGTTTTAGTTTAGTCAAACTTTTTCGCTTTTCAAAATAGAATTCGTAAGCTAGAGACCTAATAAGTAGTTGTAGTGAGTATTTAGTAGTGAGGACAAACACATTATTTGAGAAAATGAGATTTAAGGAACAAAAAGTTAAAAACCATAAATTGTTTCATCTACTGCCATGTCTATAATGCTGTAATAATATTTTTATATTATGGCAAAGAGTATCTTTTTAAGTTACAAAAAATACATATTGTTACTACAAGTCTGCGTGTTCTTAAATAAAAAGGAGAGAGAGAGAGAATTGCCCAAATCATTCCTTGGTTTGATTGTCTTTACCCTACAAGTCAAAAGTCACTTTAGCTTTGCGTGTTCTTAGATAAAATGGAGAGAAAAAAAATTTGCCCAAACCATTCCTTGGTTTGATTATCTTTGCCCTACAAGTCAAAAGTCAGTTCAGGTTTGCGTGTTCTTACATAAAAACGAGAGAAAGAGAAAAAAAAAAATCACTTTCAGTTTTGATTATCTTTGCCTTGCAAGTCAAAAGTCAGTTAATTTGAAAAAACAAAATGTCAAAACTACCCTGGTTTGCAGTACATTATTATCCTTAATTGGTTGGACCTTTGTATATCCTTCTTCTTCTTTCTTTCTTTCTTTCTTCTTTTGTCTTTATATCTTGATAAAACTACACTATCAGGTAAATTGACAATTTCTCTATGCCAATAACTCATGAAAAACTACACTGTTAAAGAAACATTTAACAACTTGTAAAAACGTAAATAAATTATGATATAAAAAAATACATAAATGAGAATCCGCAAAACCATATGCGGTTCATCATAAATTATGTTAACATATGCCCAAATTGGTTACTATATTTTTTAGAAAATATAGATAAAATATTAATGTACAAATAAGAATTTGAAAACCAATATGCCTTGATTTTACTGAGATTGTGTATCATTTAATCAAATCAAGAATAAAAATGATATTTCATATTATAGAGCATAATAGAAAATTTGCTTTTTTATGTCAAAAAAATTAAAAATAAAGAAATAGTTGTTAATTCAGATAGGAGGTATGAGAGTAATTTTTTATCAAATTTAATCTGAGAGTAATAAACACAAATTTGAGGGTGTCTAACATTTAACCCTATAAAAAATAGAGCAACATTAAAATAGTTTTTATGCTAAAGATAATATATATATATGATAATAATTAACAGGAAAAAAAAAAAAAAAAAAAATCCACATATTAACAGCTATGGACTTGGTTTGCATGAGATGACATGTATGATATGGCCCCCACCCCTCAAATTCTAGACGTCTGTAGAACAATCCAACAGAACCTCCTAGAAATGCCCCACGTATTCCCATACCTCTCCAGAAACTTCACACCCCCCCCCCCCCCCCCCCCCCCTCAAAATACCCACAAAATCCCCATCATCTTCCTCGAGTAATTTCATCAAGCACAAGCAAACAATTACAATCTCTCACAAGTTTCCAAATCCAAGCCCATTTCTCTCAGAAAAATGGATTTCAGGCTAATGGGTTTCGATGCCCCAGTCATCCACGCCCTCCAGCACGGGCTCGACGCCGTGGACGACGGAGACAAGTCCTCCAATGCGCCTACACGCACCTACGTGCTCGACGCGAAGGCGATGGCGGCGACCCCTGCGGACGTGAAGGAGTACCCGAATTCGTATGTTTTTGTGGTGGACATGCCTGGGCTGAAGTCCGGCGACATCAAGGTTCAGGTGGAGGAAGACAATGTGCTGTTGATCAGCGGGGAGAGAAAGAGGGAGGAAGAGAAAGAAGGGGTGAAGTATGTGAGAATGGAGAGGAGGGTTGGGAAATTCATGAGGAAGTTCAGGTTGCCTGAGAATGCCAATGTCGATGCGATCTCTGCGGTTTGTCAGGACGGCGTGCTTACTGTTAGTGTTCAGAAGTTGCCTCCGCCGGAGCCCAAAAAGCCCAAGACCATTGATGTCAAGGTTGCTTGACATTAGAACCCATCAAATTATCTATTCCATGCTATGATCTGTTTTGTGGTGGTTTAATGGAAATTATGCAGATGTGTGTGGGTGTTTTTTCTATTTTTTTTTTTTTTTTTTTTTAATTTGTGTTTTGGGATCATTGACTTTATGAAAGTCGATGGAGTTGGGGAAATGTTATAATCTGACTAATGCCAGTATTAAGAAGACTTTTATGTCAATTGAATGTTAGAATTGCTTAATCTCGTTGTTTGTTTGGTTGGTAGTGGATGAAGTTTTGAACCATTTTTTCATTTATTGAAAATTTTGGTTGGACTCTTGAGGAACAAACTGGCCAGTATCAAAAAATAGAAAAAAAAAAAAAAAAAAAAAAAAAAAAAAAAAAAAATCACTAAGAGAATCTTAAGGGGAAGAAAGAAAGGTTGGGTAAAGGGATTGGATTTATGTAGATTTTTCTATTCGAACATATGACCCCACTAATGCCAACAAAAATGGATGTTTATTAGTCTTTGTTAGACGAACCCAAATACTCATCTCAGTAGTTAGACCCCCAACTAAATAAAGCCGTTTGTTTTAACTAAATGAAACCTATTTTATCCCTTAATTCTTTGTAAAGTAAATGGGCTACATCAGTACTACTGAATTGTGCCAACAAAAGTGAATGAAAGGCAGCAGCAGCATGGTTCTTCTAGGAAGAGGTTAAGCTTGGGATGAAATAGAATGGGAGTGGAATGAAGTTGGGAATGACAATAGGAACGGAATGGTCAATGAAGTGGGGGAATGAGATTAATGAAGTTGGGAAATGGAATGGTCATTCGTAAATATAGAGGCGGTGGTAGTGGAGGAACGTAACAATTTTTAAAAAAGTTTTAGAGGCGTGGCAGTGGAGGAACGTAATGATTTTTAAAAATTTTATTTTTTAAAAAAGTTTTATTTGGAGAGGAACGTAATGATTTTTAAAAATTTAGTTTTTAAAAAAAAATTATTTGGAGATGAAATGACCATAGGCATAGATATAGAATGGTTTTTAAATTTTTTTTTCAAGGCTTCACTATTCTCACTTGGAGATGGAATGATCATTTTGTAGGCATAGATGTAGAATGGATTTTAAATTTTTATTTCAAAGCTTTACTATTCTCCCTTTAAATTTTATACCAAATAAAGAAATAATTAAAATGGACATATACATGTTCATTCTATTTATGCATACCAAGTTAGAACTAAAAGAATTGAGAGAATATATTAAAAGAGGCTAATATTGAAAGAAATTTAAGTTGAAAGTCTTAATTAAATTTCTGGAAATAGATTCGAGTATGAGAAGAAGTTACTATTGTATACAAAGATTTGTCATTGATCATCCCCTCCTAACAAAATGCGATGGTGGGGACATATGCAATTGACCCATTATTGAAATATTAGTCATTTTTCTAATAATCATATGATTTAAATAATTACTGTAAATCAATTTGTATAATCCAACTAAAATGTGACCATAAAATATGTTTTAACTGAACATTTGGAATGTGTTGTCTAATTGAAGTAGTGATCTTTTAGTCTTTCTTTCCCTATCTCTCTCTACCAAACAAACAAAGGAAACATCCTTCCATTTTCTCCTTAAAACTTTTCCCTCCTCCCTTCTTTCTTACTAAACATTGACCCACAAGAATTGACTCCATTTCAAAGTGTCCCCTCAATTGAAGGAATGAAAGACAAAAAAAAAATAAACTAATCATACCATGGAATCAGATTAGGAGAACAGAGGTAACCAATGGGATCCACATAGAGGCAAGCGGAAAGTGGAAACTTTTTCCATTATTATATTATATTTGAATGCATTAGTTTATAATTGTGAACTTGCCCCCCTTCCCAAATTGTCAAAAAGAGATTTTCTAACCTTCAGAGTTTCTAATCATTTCCTTCAAAAACAGGAAAATTCATGGAAAACAATTATAAATGTATATTATAAGTTCTATTATTTGTTTCTCTGGTTCAAAAATCAAAAACAAAAAAAATCTTATCATTGTTAAAATTCGCGCTATTTAAATGAATGCAAAAATATTTAATACCCTTGGCCAATACGAATATCATGTTTTCCTAGATTATAAGAAACATTAAGTTGACCTTGGGTTCACCTCAAACATAGACCTGTGGAAGGAGAAGGTATTGGATTCAGACACCATACTGTGCACCGAAGCCGTATATGTGATGCCGGTGCTTTTTCCCGTTAGTCCATAAGGATCGGATACCCATATTCCAGAACCGTACAAGCCTGTCACATGAAATGCACCAAAACCAAAGCAAGCCACCCCTAAAAAAAATAAATGAATTCCAAAGATCTTGGGCAAATCCAAAGAAGGTTTTCCTGTACGCTCATCGCAAAATATTTCTAGATCCCAATACACCCAATGCCAAATAGCTGCCACGAAGCACAAACTAGAAAACACAATATGTGCCCCGGCCACATTCCAAATACTCGGATTGGTTATGCATATACGATTAAAATGAACTAACATCATACACTTGTACACCTAACGCACCCAATATTTATTTTCTCAAAGGTTGTCAACCAAAAAAACATCTATACATAACCACACACTTTTCACAAGTTTTACTTAATCTTTGGAATATATATTGTTGAAAACAGGGTACTGCACTAAAGATTATTGAGTGACCTTACCGACCAATAGATAAAAGAAAACCACTTGAGCCAACTTTATCCCTCGTGATAAACGAAAAGAAGATTGTTGAAAACAGGGGCACCATTAGATGGTCGTCTAAGAACATTGATGATAGTAAAAAAAGATAAATTCCATTGCATTTTGGAGCTCGAAAACATTTCCAATAGACCCTGAATTCAATTCTGTAACCTAATTACCCTAACAAATTGCAATATTAGGCAAGGTACTCGAGGCCAAATCTAAATTGATTTGATTTTTAACACGCTAAAATCATGAAACTTTGCTATTTTTTTTAAGACGGAATAGCTCACCCCCTCCACTATAGATGGTCTAACTAACAGAGTTATTCCTGTAATTTTAAAAATAAGAGTTAATTGCACTGACATCCCTTGAAGTTTCGATCAATTCTACTCAATTGTTGGTCAACGCAATTTTGGATAATGACACCCCTGAGATTTCAAATGACAAATTTGCCCCTTAATATTTTATTCCATTAATTCAAAAAATATCAAGCATGTTAAATGGTTAAACTACCACCCATCAATTTCCTCTCTCTATGTGTCTCCCGTCGGTAATCCCTCTCTCTTTGTCACCCCAGATACCACCATAACCACTACCACATCCATACACCTCGACAACGATCGCCACTGCCACCACCACCACAATAAAAAGAAAAAATAATAAATAAAAACAGCCACAAACACCATCACAACCCCTACCACCACCACAATAGAAGAAAAAAAAAATCCAAACACCACCACCTCTATAAATAAATAAATATATATATATATAGAAATAACCCCAAACACCATCACTACGACCACCGAAAAAAAATATATAGAAATAGGCATGGCCAACCCAACACCACCACGGCCTCTCGCCCAAAGCGTGAGAAGAATATAAAGAAGCATGTGGTCTTCACAGATGGGCTCGTCTTCGTCTTCAACAGCAAGGTCGACGTCGATGCCTATTACAACAAGCTCCTCTTCAACGAGAATGGTATCACACCCATCTACCTATTCAATGCGTCCAAATTCCCCACCCGATTTGATGCGTCCAATTGAACCATTATGGGTTTAGACCAACAATTGAGAACCGAAAAGCCCTAGCAATTGAGAACCAGAAATAGACTGCAGTGGCACCACCACCCAGGGGCGGCTCGATGTAACTCGGGGCCTTAGGCAAAAAATAAAAAGTAGCTTTTTCATATCATAATATGCAATATATTAATTATTAAATAATAATTAATTAAAAATCATCCTTCTTGATTTTTGAGATGCAAACTTACTAATTAAATTCTTATATTCAAGTGTGGTTGAAATATCTTTTCCAATAAACAATGTAGCCAATCCATTTAATCTTTCTTGTGACATAGTTGATCGTAGATATGATTTTTTCAACTTTAATGTCGAAAAACTTATTTCTGCTACCGCAACAGTTACAGTAAGCAATGCATGCATTTGGAAAAGAATCTAATCTTTTAATATAATTTAATATTTCATTTGAAGTGTTTGTTTCTATGTGTAAAATTTATTTTAAAACTTTTAATTCTAAAAATAAATCTAAACCATCAATATCAAAAGACGCATCATGTTTTAAAAATAGTTCTAAATTAAAACAATATTTTTTTCAAACTATCATCATCTAATGATTTTAGCTTTTTGAAATTAAACAAAAAAACCAAAAATATCTTCATATATTTTAAATTGTTCAAACCTACTATTAAAGAAATAGCTTGATCAACTATATATAAAAAATAATCAATCTTAAAAGATTCTTCAGCTAATTGAGTTGAGTTATTATCTACATTCTCATCAAATTGTTTTTTCCTACAAATTATACGTTTCTCATGAAAAACAGGTTCTATTGCCATTTCATTAGCAATTTCTTTAACTGAAATGATAACAGATGTAAATTCATTTTCTCAATATTTTGTGAAAAAAGAAATAAGACCTTTTAATTGATCTATTGCAATATCAATATGCATATCTTGAGATTGTAAATTTTTACTAACTGAATTAACTGCAAATAATATGTCATATCCTTCTCTTTTTTAAAAAAAATTTCAAATCGGAATTCATACTTTCTAGCAGACATATTAAAAAATATGGGTAAAAATAATCACAAGACTCACAACTCATAACTCACAAACAAATATAAAATATAGATATATATACAAATTTATAATAACAAAAATTAGTAAAACTAAAAAAATAATTAAAGAAAAAAGAATAATATAACCTGATTTAGAAAGCCCCAATTCAATGTTGTTGCAAATTCTTCAATAAAGAAAAGTGCGTTCAAATTGAGATTTGAGACTAATGAATATTGAGTCGAGAAGAAATAAAATCGTAAAGTTGTAATGAGCGAGGAATGAGAAGGGAGATGACTTGTTGAGTTTGCTAAGAGAGGGGAGAAATCAGAATTCTGAACGTAAGGATTGGGAATAAGAAAAAATAAATAAATAAAATAAAAATCTAGAAAAATATAATATGGAAAGTTTCTTTACTTTCCCATACAACGGCTAAACATTTATTGTAGTGCAACTTACCGAACAAAATATTAAATATATATAGTGCTGGTGTTATAAAAAATAAAAATAAAATAAAAAAACGTGTATAAGATAGACAAAGAAAAAAAATATTAATGAGATATTTTAGGAGATAAATAAATAAATAAAAATGAGATATTTTAATAGGTAAATAATTTCTCTTTTGGTTAAAATTTAATGAAAAGGCGTGAATGATGACGAAGAGAGAGTAAACAAAAAAAGAAGAGTCATTTTAGGAGATAAATTTTTTAGAAGGGAAAATTACATATAAATGGAGTCAAAGTTCCATATTTACTTAGAGACGGAGTCAAAGTTCCATATTTTTCTAAAATGGATTGCTGAGGTGGCACATGGTTTTTTATTGTTTAGAAAATTATGGTGCCTAAAATGCCCTTCCCTAACAAAAAAGTAGTACCTTCAGTTCAAAAAAGTAGTACCTTCAATTCAAAAAAGTAGTACCTTCGGAGAAAAAGTAGTACATTCGCGGGTGTTTAAAAAATATGGTACCTGAACGCCAAAAAGTAGTACCTTCAGTTCAAAAAAGTAGTACCTTCGAAGAAAAAGTAGTACCTTCACGGAAGGGTATTTTAGGCACCACAATTTTTAAACAGTAAAAAATCATGTGCCACCTCAGCAATCCATTTTAGAGATATATGGAACTTTAACTCAGCCTCTAAGTAAATATGGAACTTTGACTCCATTTATATGTAATTTTCCCTTTTTAGAATTGGTGATCAATAAGGAAACAATTATAATATATCATATACTATACAACTATAATATTTTAAGGCCTTCTATTAGCTACGCCTGAACTCGCCTAAGGCTCGAGCCGCCCCTGCCACCACCAGCATCACCGTTAAGCATTTACTGCTCCGCCACAGCAGAGGCCAAGATCCGAGTCTGCTGCCACCCCACCACGAGGAACCCCAAATCGAACCCAATTCCTATACATATAAATATATATGCATTACCTTTCAACCAATCTGAAACCCTATATATATATATATATATATATATCACTACCTCCCTCATCATTTTTACCACCACCATCTCCACCCATGACGATCTCAATCGAACCCAAATCACACACACACACACATAAAATTCCACTCTCTCAATCCCCTAATTCATATATATATATAGTTCCTATCAAGCCCCCAATCCGAAATCCCATATATATATATATATATATATATATATATATATAGACACACGCACGCACAACCTTTGCTCTTTGTATTATCTTCCGTGGCGAAGGATTCGAAGGCGAATAGGAGACGTCCAATGCAGCGACATTAATCACCGACAAAGCAATTACTAGCTTTCAACATTCGGGCTCCACGAGGGAGCAGAAGGAAGCACGCCCAGTGGGACTTGAAGTTGAGACTTCATGCCGGTGGGAAGGGAAGGAAAGGCCAAGCCAAGCTTGATACTGATTATGGATGATGGCATGAAATGGTAAATAATGGGTCAATTTGGCCCATTAAAATTAGTTAGAAAAGGGAAATTCAGGTCATTTTATGATCAAAAGTAATTGTTGACCAATTAAAGGGTATTTAAGTCTTTTTATAGGTCGAGAGGTCCTGTTGATGTAAGATTTTAAAACCCTAAGGGTGTCACTATAAATAAAATAAAAAATAAAAAAAAAAAGGGTTGACTTGCATATAAGTGACATTTACCAAAATCTCAAAGGCGTCAGTGCAATTAACTCCAAAAATAGCATTGATTTTTCGTGTCAGTGTTGATTTTGATCCAAATATATTAAATGACTATTATACTTATTATACTTTTATTAGTTCAATATATGGACAAAAATAATATTTTCAAATTTCTTAAGGGCATTTTTGAGTTTAAAGGAACTTTTTAGTATGATGACATGGAGTATACGATTTTATAACAGGGGTCAGTGTTATTTAGAGCTAAACCAGAGGAAAGGTCAATGTATTTAAAACTGGACGAGAAGTTCGTATTCTCTAGGCAATGAAGATGTAAGTGTAATTATCATTTTTTAAAAATAAAAAAATAATAAGCTTGAGCAACAGTGTTCCGCAATCAACTACAAAAAAAAGGTAACACCATGGGAATCTGTAACTTAGGAAAAGAAAATATAAAGTTGTTTATATATTTATTTTGACAGTTTTTTATTGGATCGGCTCTCTTTGGTGGTCATGCACCAAACTATACGGAAAAAGCCTCACAAGGGTAGAAGTCGTGCCAAAGTCTTTAGCTTAGTTGATAGGTCTATTTTTGAGGTGGGTCAAAGGGTGAATTGGGTATTTGCAATTGGAAACTTCCTGTCAATTAAGAAAGCATATTTCAGATTGACTGGTGAATTGACTTATTGACTGACTCCACTCTTCGTCATCCATGGTGGTGAATGAATCATTACATGAGACTCAAGTCATTCCTTAGAAGTTAAGAGTTAGGGGCTTTCCATTTTAACTCAGACCGTTGTTCAAACTTACAGATCAGTGACCACGTGAGCTCAAAGGTCAACTGCATGTGCTTCCATGCCTGACCAACACTTGATCGAAAAATCAACATTTTATATTTCTTGGTACATTGTTTTACAAGATTTAATAACATAACTTAATTGTATTTATTTTGTTTTTATCCTTCCAAAATGAAAGCACCATTTTGTAGAAAGGAACAAGATTTTGAATTAGATTTCTTTTGTGTTGGCTTAGGGTCAGAAAAAGAGAAGTTGAATGAGGAGTTGCCAGAGAGAAAAAATTTGAAGAAAAAAAGAACTAAATACGATAAAGAATAGAGGATTCAAGTCTTACATTGAACAAAGTAAGGACGAGTATATTCTCATCTAAATAATAATAATAAATAAATAAATGTTAAAAAATTGTGTATGCAAAATATATATATATATATATATACATATATTTATTTATTTATTTATTTAAAGAAACTTGAATGAGGCACCTACCCTCATAAGCTCCAAGTAGCTCCATCCTTGCTTAAAACAAAATCTAACGAGACAGTCTTCATTAAATTCTATCAAAGGAAAGAAAAGATATAGTTTGGGTGAGTCTATTACCTATTAGAAAATAATTTTGATATGAAATATGTACTAAAATATATTTATGTTGTTGGGGTTCAAGTTTTGTTGAAACAAAGTGGGTGTGTGGTTTCAACTGTAATATAATATTTGTGTATACTCATGTCCAAAAATAATGAAATCAACTTCATTCCAAATTCTCTTCTAAAAATTGAATTTGAATTAAAAGCGTGACATGTAGGAATTTGACAGGAATGTCCTATTTTTCATATAAACAAATGAACTTCGGTTAACTTCGGACGCACATAAGCTGACTTGGCTTTAGACCATTGGAGGTTTTTATGAAACAGCACCAATTAAATGGATCAGATGATCTTATAATGTGTACCAAAAATGATGCTATGAGTATGATGTTGAAAAAGGAAGAGATCATACCACAAATCATTATCACACAAGACTTGTATTCCTCTCGGTTGTGCAAGGGTTTGTCTAGCACGAGACATGAGCACAGTTCACACGATCAAAGCACAAAGTCTACGCCCAAGTCCTCCTATACATGTCCCACTCACTCGTCCTTTCTTCTTACCAGCATAATCTCATTGTTTGGGCCCAAAGTATCAAACTCCTTAGCCACCTCTGCCAATTAAGCCTTAGCTATGAAGCTTCTCTGAACATCGCGGGAAGGTGGCTACGAAACAACCAGCTGACCGAGCTATGGAGTTGATATATTTATACCGTACCCATTCGGTTGAGTGACATGGCTGGGAATTATCCCAATACAAACATGTCTGATTCCACTTTCGGATCACTAAACTCACCAGAGAGTAATAATGCCAACCAGTCAAACTTCGAGTTTTCCGATTTCTTTGAGCTCAATGAGTGGGTAGAGGAAGATCCGGCATTCCTGATTTATGGGTATCCCCAGACTCCGATTCGTGCAGCAACCGAAGTCAATGATGCCGGTGGAAGTAGCAGCCACCATGAAGGACCTGGCAATGGTAAGCAATATGACTTGTATTAATGATAGGGTGTTGAGTTATATGGGATAATCATATCTCATCATCCTACAAATATATATATGTAGCCCATGAAAATATATGTAATATGTACATATCTCACTCACAAAGACATACATACTCATTCTTGTTGCCAAATGTGTTGCTTTGTGTCAATAGGAGACAGTGGGAATGACCGGGAGAGGGAAGTCAGAGAGAAGGTTGCTTTTAAAACAAAATCCGATGTTGAAATACTGGAGGATGGGTACAAGTGGAGGAAGTACGGAAAGAAGATGGTGAAGAATAGCCCAAATCCAAGGTACAATAATAACAATTACATCAGAACATCAAGGGTAGTGGTATTCTATTATCTCCTCCCCCGGCCATATAACTTTATTTTGGCCAATAGCCAAAATCCAAGGTATATAGCAACAATTACATCATAGCATCAGAGGTATTCTATAGATACCATTCATCTGATCCCCGTGTAAATAGATTCTCTTGGCCACAGTTTCGAAAAGAACACCCATCCTATCTTGTAGCACCTTTAATAAGGTAATTTTTTCAATATAATTCACCAGTAAGCTAAGCATTTCCTAACGAGGATCACAATATATCAGACAACTAAAAAATATAATTCATTTTAAGATGTCATTTTGCCCATAGTGACAATTAGCATATGTTAGTTGTATCACAAACCTTTGTGAAGCCATAAAAACCTGAGTTTGAGCACTTTGTTCATTGTTTTTCCTATTAAATCAACAAAAATGAAAAAAATAAATAAATAACACTTGTAATGAGATGAAGCATTCAAGTGGAAGGACCCTCACTTGAATTACAGACTCCAATTGAAAGCAAATTCTATATACAAGTAAGATGAGACACAAAGTCAAAGTCTAAATGTATAAATGGGCTTTCATGTATGGCCTTTAGTAGCTCTATGTGTGCTTTGAAAAGTCACGTTTTCTAGTTTCAAATTTTGCAATTTCCAGAATCGTTGTTCAGTTATCCAGGAGACAACTATGATGTTTTAACATATGGTATTTCCTCCACGGTTTGATGATAAATAGAGCAAACTTTTACCATTACAATATCTACCATATTGTAAAGACGGAATTTGCCTAAACATAAACAGCATGAAACACACCTCTCATGGTGACCGCATTATGTGTTCTGCAGGAATTATTACAGGTGCTCAGCTGAAGGATGCCCTGTGAAAAAGAGAATCGAGCGAGATAGGGAGGATCCAAAGTACGTGATAACAACCTACGAGGGTATCCACAACCACCAAGGTCCTTCTCAGTTATGATTTTCTTTAAGAAATGTGAGTTCTAGGTTACATTTATGTAGCTAGAATTGTACAAGAAGTACTACTGTTAGTAGTTAGTTACCTACCATCATCATGTTTATGTGCTATAAAGGATTGTGAGGTAGTGAGATCAGAATAGGCGCCACAGCCATAACATGATGATGCTCTTATCATGTATGATTAAATCAATACCTCCATCTTGTCTACACTCGTCATTCCAAAAGCAGAGTAGCCATATAACAGATGCCCTGGCATACAAATTAAAAAATGTAGTCACATTATAATTTTCCGTCTCAATTGAGCTTAACCTGTACATGATAGGTTAGATTCAGGGTCGTCATTATAACAAAAACCAAGCATTATTCACACGTATGCGCACAAAGATGAGTAAAAACATTGGTCCTCAATGAATGAAATTTCTTTAGCTACAGAAGAACTATGAAGATTTTAGAGAAAGTGGTACATAAGATGTTCTCAATAAGATGATGTACTAATCTTCCCAACAATGAAAATTTATGCCAGCATCAGTCAAATTAACAGTACCTGCTCTAAGGAATTTGAAGTGATAACAAACAACATGAAACATGTTCTACTATTCTGTTAAACCAGAATTTATTTGACCATTACAGAAATCAATAACATGTGGCAACAATTTTTGGCGACAGGATTAATACAGCAGCACTCAACAAATACCACGTGAAAATATTTGCTTCCGTTAAAAGAAACGAGCACATTATGGATGTGTGACCATTTATGTCAAATGCAATGACTCCAGCTATGGACTAGAGCCTGATTAAATCCTTTTTACAATCCTGAGGAGCATGGTTACATGATGGCATTCAAAAGCAAAGGGAAAATAGAAGTAGAACACATTAGCTACTAGGTTGAATTCGATTCATATAACTAATTGACAGCATCTTAGCAGAATAATTTCTCAACAGACAGACCTCATCACTATCATCGAATCCCAAGACCTACTTGATTACATCCATCAAGAAACCCGGTCACTGCACAATGTTCCCGTGTTTAGCCACTCTGTATATCTTGTTTATCAGAATGAAATGTATATCTAGTAAAAGCAAAACTCCAACTTGTTCGGCTGAAAATTCCTTGGTACAGTTATCATAACCTCAAAATTCCATTCAGAAATGTAAGATCAGAGTTCCATCAGGATCCTTGTATATCTGCTATGAACCATTGTCTGATGACAAGGATCAGAATATATTAATAACACGAGTTCCATGCTCATGTATGACACGGAACATGCCTCTATTAATGAGTTATGACAATCAGATTGAATAGAGTTTTGCACAGTTTCTATGTTCGGTCTGTTTCCTGCAATTTTATCACCTATTAAGCAGTGTGTGGCACCTGCATTCTACAAATTTATAACTAAAAATGAGCAACGACACTTTCAGAAGGGCTCACCTACAAATTGACATCTGTTAGCACTGAGCTTGACTAGACCTCTATCTGTTGGCAGTCATTGTTCCAAAAGCGAGTAGCCACCTGAATCAATGATTTCATGCCAAAAAAAAAAAAAACATATTGTAAGATGCCATCTCCTTGTAGTTGTAGAGCACATACCACCACCTCCAGTTTACAGGTTTTGTAGTTCGTGATCATGGCAGGGCTGTCCCCATTATTTCATTAAAAAGATGGTACCTAGTTGTTCTTCTTCTTTTCTTTCTTTTTTTCTGTGATGTGAAGGACATATGTATCCCTATGCATGGTTGCGCATCTGAACCAAACAAATCCGCAATATTAGATTATAAAGAATACTCAAACGACATTGAATCAAGTATCAGGAGTGAGTGGCAGTGCGCTCTCTTTTTTTTCGTTTTTTTTTTTTTTTGCCAAGTATGTTAGGTGGCCCTTTTGCAACTGCCAAGAATCATGAACAAAGAGAACTTGAATCAAGTCTGAAACTTAAGATTCAAAAATATAAGCATCACCATACAGCATGAGTAAAGCTCACAAGCTGAATTAGGCAAAACCTTATTTTTCGAAGTAAAATAGATTTCACCTTGTGATTTTCGTCACGTCAATCATTTCAGCTGCAGAACTGTTAAAAGTTTGAGGAATGTTTTCTTGTTTTAAACTGTTCTATTCCCTTGCTCAATAATGGTAAACTCAATATTATCACACCCATGTTCAATATCATCACGAGGGGACTGGGGAAAGTGACCAACCTTGGTTTGATGGGTTCTACATGTTGATACAAGATATCAAACTCTCCTGAACTACCCAACTTGCCTTGTCGAGCTTCTGATATAGAAAAGTTAATTTACCGAGCTAGCTCCAACCTTGATTTGGAAAAACTCCAATGAGAATTTTTAAAACAAAGTTTGGGTTAGGAATTAGGACCCATGATTCTAATTACTTGGAACACTTGCAAGTTGCAACCCTCCTCCTGAGCATGCCATTACCAATATTCAAAAGTAAAATCTACAAAATGATAAGCCAAAAATAACATTAAGCTTAGCAAGTGCAGCCTTGCATGACAACTTAAATCTTGTCAACCACCTCTCTAATTCTTCTAAAGAATGTGTAAGCAACCTTTGTAAGATCCATTCAGTGCTTCTCAATATGAAGTTCGCCATTAAAATTTGTATACATTTTTTTTAAGCAATTCACTCACGCAATCAGTCTCCATTCAGGCTCCAACCCCTGACCTTCCTTTGAAAAAAGTAGGAATCAATCATGTATACATTGAGGAAAGAACAACTGAAGTTACTGAACTGATGATTCCTAATGTGGGTCAGAACCTTTAAGGGCTCCAGTTCATTTCTTAATTTTTACTTTGTCCACCTATATATGGATATCAAATATATGTAACTACATGTACGTAACAGGTGCTCAATACAAATGTGTATACCTATTCAAGTAAACGTTAATCAACCAACTATGTGATAGCGCTTACCAGGATTGAGACTTGAAAGTTTAGAGCCGATGTCCGCAATTGATCTGATTAGAGAATACTTTCTCTCCTGTTGGTCTTGAATTTATCCCTCTCAAGAAATAGCTGTAAAGTAGTACTCTCTCTCTCTCTCTGTCTCTCTCTCTCTCTCTCTCGCTACTTTTTTACCTCCGCCGCTTTCGGAATGTTTTTGTAACAATCCGAAAAGATACCAAAATAACAATAAAAATCTATAAAAATTTTGGCATAACCTCCGCAGAAAATGTTCCTCAACAACCTGTTGAAATACAAAAAAATAAATGCAGTGGCCTCCCTGAGTCTTAAAGCTAATTTATCCTGTCCCAACACACAATTCAGATATTATACTACATTCCCAAAATGGTTACATCAAATTACAGTCCATAAAATGTAGCTAGAATTAAAGTCCATAGCTTACAACATTATACTAATTAAACTAAAGTATCACAAGGTAGTTAATATTACATTTACAAAATATTAGAGTCTAATACAAAAGATAACAAAATAGAATGGGTCTTCAAGCTCATCTAAACCTATGGTGGACCGTCGTCCGCCACCTCTTTTCCATATCCTGAAAAAATGTTAAAAATAAGGGGGTGAGTATAAGCTCAATAGGAAGTGTTTAAGACACACTTCTTATGTCCCCGTGAATCCATACAATGAATAGATAAAAAGTGAACGGGATCATGCCATCGGAAAACACTCATTCTCAACCACAATAACAAGTATATAACAAATATCAACCAATCACAAATTTACCACGATGTCATGAAGTGCAATGTTATGCAAATGTCACTCCCCATTTCCGAAACAATTCCGTTTCAACAACCAAACCGTTAGTGTAGTCCGACCCAAGGCACCTCCATGGCGTCACGAAATGAAGGTTGGTTAATTATCCACGACCACAAGGCACCCCCACGGCGTCGCATCCGGCCTAGTTAACTCAACTACATTCCCTTCTAGACTATACCAACATCACGGACCACTAGGCGCCTCCTAGGCGTCCGGTTTTCGCAACACTTTTAGAAAATATTTTCCCCAAAACAATTTTATTTGTTTTAACAATTATTTTTCCCTCTTTCTCTTTCCCAATGGATACATGAATACTTCATACTTCAAATCATTAATTTAAGTATATGTTTTCACACATTTCCATTTACATTATCATCATAATTTAATGAAAATTTCTAAACATTTCTTTCCTTTATTTATTTATTTATTTATAACCATAACATCCATTTTTTCTTCAAGACAATAAATAAATAAATAATCATGGAAACATATAACACATCAAACACTAAGCATGCTCATTTACCGTAATGAAAATAGACATGTATATGAACTCAAATAACACAAGGAGCACAATTATCACTGTAATTACAAAGAACTACAACAACAAGAAGCTAAGTAATTAAAATTTAGCATGCTTAGAATCAAATTTAAGGGGAAAAATTCACCAAAGGCCAAGAAATTGTAGATTAGAACACCCTACCTCAAATTAATGAAAACCCCCAATTTGAGCCCAAGAACCCTAGAATTTCGAACTCCCTAGAGTGCACCAAAACTGAAAGTGTTGGTACTCACACGTAGAGCTCGCCGTGCTCTTCGATTTGCTACAAATAGCACCCAAAAATTCCAACTATGGGAGAAGGAATCAAAGCTTGAAATTGGAAAAGAAAAAGAAAAGAAAGGGAAGCTTCTGGACAGAGACGCAGAGAGAGAGAAATTGGTATGTGAAATGGCCTTATACCCTTTGTGGTGTTTTTAATACATTAGTGGGGCCCACTTGCTTTTTAAAAAAAAACACTTTATAACATTAATATATATATATTCATACCCATTACAGTTTTCTTTTTCAAATTGGGCCACACCAAAACTCTTCTTAAACAGTCTCCGTGGTTTTTTTTTTTTTTTCAACTCAAAGTAGTTTCGATCTCATGTAGAGTGCATTCGGGGTTGCTTTTCAATTGAAAAAATAATGGTTATTTTTTAAGAAATTACATTTTTTTAATGAAATTAAAATTTATAATATTATAAATTAAAGATGGAACATTTTAAGTAACTATTTTGTCTTAGACAACTAACTTCTTTCTTTCTAAAGTCAATATTATCAAATATGATATAGTATAAAATATTGTGCAATAAAAGTGTTTTAAAAAGTATTGTTACCAAATAAATAGAGAAATATTTTAATTGTGAAATGTACATAATACACCCTAACAAAGCTTAACAACACTTGAAGCCCACAAAAAAGCTCATGTTGATAGTTTACATAAATAAAAAGCCCAATCCCAAAAAAGCCAAGCCCACTATAATTGCCAATTGATACCAGAAGATTGTTTTCTTTTTTACCAGAAGATATGAGTGGGAAGAAGAACAGAGAGCCCCATGAGAATAACTGAGCAGATAAAGGAAGGAATGATTATTTTCAGGCCAAGTATTCATGGGCCGAATCACATTGTGGATGCATGTGATTCGGCCCAAGTTTTCAATTATAATATAACAATTCTAAAAGATAATGAACAATCATTCATTTGAGAGAGAGAGAGAGCGAGCGAGCTAGAAAGAGAGAGGGAAATGGATACATTAGTGCAGGTACCTTACGATGCTACAGTGCGCTTGATGCTAGCTTCACTGGAGCGTAACCTACTACCGGACGCGGTGATAAGGAGGCTTACTCGGCTGCTGTTAGCGAGTCGTCTCCGTTCTACTTACAGGCCATCCTCCCACCTTCAGCTCTTTGACCTCCTCCAATTCGCGCATTGTACCTCCCTCTATCTCTCTCTCCCTATATATATATATATATATATATGTGATATTTGTTCTTTATCTAAACCCATCATCAATAGTTAGTTATATTAGCTGTTGAAATGTAGTCTGGTTATGAACATTTATTGTCCTTTGCATAATTGTACATGTCTCTGTGTGTGTATACATAAATGTTATTATTTGATGTAGAGAGAGAATTGAACTAGTTAGTAAACAATTTAGACTCCGGTTAGTTAATTATTCATTAAACAACTATGGTGATGGTTTTAGAATTTTCAATTGAATCAGTTGGATCGAATTCGGGCTCAAATTAATGCATTACCCAGTGTTTATCTTGCAGTGCAAGGAGGAGGGGAAGATTAGAGATTTCCATATAGTCCAATGGTATCTCCTCTACCTCCTAAAGTGGAAGATTGAGAGTTCAAATTCCCATGGGACAAAGTGGTTACATGTGTGTTTGTCAGGATTAAAAAAATATATATATATATATGAACTGAGTATATGAACATTTTATTTGGGTTTTCTAGTGCTTCATTCTACAGGGAAACAAAATAGAATCATTTGGGGAAGAATCAATAGAATCATTTGGGGAAGAATCATATTGATTTGAGGTCCTAAATATAGCTTTCTATTTAGATTTTTTCCCCTAAATGTTTGGATCACAATGTGTATCTATGAAAAATGATATTAGTAGTGCCAATCTCGTTATCTCCTATAACGACAACATAGTTGAGGTCCATCTATTGCATTTCTTGTTCCCATTGAACTGATGAATGAACATCTAATAATCAGTACTTTGTGCTATCCTATACCAATGCCTGGTTGATCAACCCCTTGATTGGACTGTAATGCTCCCGGTCGAGTAGTGTTGACTCTGTTGTTATGAATTCCATTGTAAAATGTATAGTGTTGTTGATGCAACATCATCTTTAACTTCATTTGTTTCCCTTCTAATTGGTGTTTATATCAGATCTTTTACCAATTTTGAGTGTCTTAATGTGCATTCATCCATTGTTTCTCTGTTGCAGCTTTAAGAGAAATGCCTATAGCCATCAAGACTGACGAGCCAAAATCCCAACATTATGAACTCCCCACCTCTTTTTTCAAGCTCGTTCTTGGAAAGAATCTCAAATACAGGCAAATGATTTCTATACTCGGTATATTATCTTTTGTTATAACGTGTATGCCTTATATCTGCTATTTAGAAAAGTATCTTTTAGGTATGGTTGAGGTTGAATTTATCTTTGAATATGAGTTTGTTATTGAACCGAGACAAACATGATCGTTGAATTACTCTGGGATTTTTGGAAGTGTTCAAGTGCTAAAAATGGTCCTGTTTTCCTTCCCATAAAATATAGCATTAGGGTCTTATCAGCATATAAAGAGGATGCATGCATGCTACTTTGCATTCCACTTCAGGGAAGTAGATCTGTAATTATTTTGTCCTTTGGGGCTAAAAGAACAACATTATAGGATTTAGTGGACAAGTTTAGTTAAATTATTATTATTTGGGCACTTTTAAGCAATTAATATTCAAATGGAACTTGATAGAAAAGGCAAATAATCTATACTGGTGTAATTTTCTTGTGGGATGTGATGGAACTGGAAGCTGTTAAGCTCTACTATATCTATGATCTGATCCGGTTTATATGTTTAACTGGTGCAGTTGCTGCTACTTCCTTGATAAGTCGAACACTTTAGAGGATGCTGAGAAAGCAATGTTGGAGTTGTACTGTGAGAGGTCTCAGTTAAAAGATGGTCACACTGTTCTTGATGTTGGATGTGGGTGGGGATCGCTCGCTTTATACATTGCACAAAAGTACAGTAATTGCAAGGTTACAGGGATATGCAATTCAACAACACAAAAAGCATACATTGAGGAGCAGGCTCGGTAAGTTCCTTGGTAATTTAACACGTGTTGGATTTCACATTCAAATTATAAGTTCTTCCATTTTGACTCATAAATGATGTTCTTGATGGTTCCAAACTGTACATGCTGCAGTGAGAAACCCCTTTGTTTTTCCAAAGAGGCACCTTTTTCCATTGGAAATATCTCCTCCTAAAAGCTCAAACTTCAGTTGGTTCCCTGGTTAAACTTGTCCACATTGGGTTTACCTGATGGCAGCTTGAACTTGTTTAGTAGCAAATGCTTTCCTAAATTCTGTCTTATTCTGAATTGTGTACCACTACTGAGTCCATCACTGTATTATATCTTCGATGACTGACAAATTGTTAATTCAAGTTAGACCAATATTTATGGTGCATATGGTACAGAATCGAGTAGGATTAGAGGCTGACCAAGAGTTTGTTATGCATCCAGGAGCGGAATGTCAGAGAACCATACTTTTGTTGCTCCTGTATAAGTTTGAAGTATACAATTTTTGTGTAACTGACATGGTTTTCATTTGAAATTTTGACCATTTGCCAAGAGAATCATACGTTGAATCTTGTGTGTACTCCTTCTGCATATCTATAACTATTTCTAGTTGTCAACCTTCTCAAATTTGATGGGTTTTTGGATGACCTAAATTGTTCACTCTTCTATTCCATAGGGAACTTCAGCTGCAGAATGTGGAGATCATTGTCGCCGATATCAGCACATTTGAAATGGAAGCTTCATATGACCGTATATATTCCATTGAAATGTTTGAGGTATGCTTTCCTTTCAAGTCCTACTATAGGGCATGAATTGTGTTCTTGACATGGTTCAATAATTTATTTATTTCATTGAAACAGCATATGAAGAACTACAGGGATCTTCTTGAGAAGATATCCAAATGGATGAAGCCCGATGGATTTCTTTTTGTTCATCATTTCTGTCATAAAGCATTTGCTTACCACTTTGAGGTCTACCTTCTTTTAATAAGTTAAATGGCACACGTGTCACATTGCTCGTTCCTGTTTTTCCACAATTCTTTTGTTGTCGAGCTTCTAGATAAGGTGATTGTAAAACTTCCCAGCTTCTTTTCATATGCAGGATGTCAATGAAGATGACTGGATCACTAGGTACTTCTTTACTGGAGGCACAATGCCTTCAGCAAATCTACTTCTTTATTTCCAGGTGAGCTCCGTGCATGCCCGTTTACAAGCATCCAACTTTTTCTTCTTAATTTGAACTTGCTCGGTGATTTTGTTTTTCAAATGTCTTCCACTTTTCATAATGTTGGAAGAAATTATTGATCATTGATATCATTCCATGTGCATACAACCCCGGGATATTGTTAAAGTCTCTCTCTCTCTCACTGTCACACACACACACACACTGGCGCTTGTGTGCACATGGCCCCCGGTGCAAACACAACACTGTACTGACTACCTCAGCTCGTAACTTTGAAGAAAGCCATACTTTCAAGTTCAAGTATCGCCCTTGCATTTCTAGTGATGGTCGTTCACTGAGAGGTTTTGGTTGTTATAATGCAACTAATGAACAATGTTATGCAATCCTTGGGGAATAAACCCCATTGCCGGTTCTCCAAGCAAGCTCTGAAACTTAACAGCGTAGTTACCGATTCAATTTATGTGTAATATCAAACAAGCATTAAGCAATGAACTAATGATGAAATATCATTCAAAATTGAGGCACACTAAAGCTTAGCATAAATCAAACTTATTGGCTTCCTGTTGATGATTAATGTGCAGGATGATGTTTCTGTCGCCAACCATTGGCTTGTGGATGGGAAGCATTATGCACAGACAAGGTAAGGGTGGCTTATACCATGAAATTTGTAGTTATAAAGTTATTATAGCTTTTAGAAGTTTCAATTGTTGCCTGTAAGTTCATTGAATGGCTATGAACTTTTCTGACCATTTCATTTTGATTTTTAAGTCATTCATGGTAAACCATTTTTGTTTTTCCCTTAGTATAGTCTGAGACTTTCATCTGAAACAAACAAACATACATTATCGTCTTGCAGTGAAGAGTGGCTTAAGAGAATGGACAAGAACATGGATTCCATAAAGCCAATAATGGAGTCAACTTACGGCAAAGATTTGGCTGTTAAGTGGACTGTCTATTGGAGGACATTCTTCATAGCAGTTGCAGAACTGTTCGGGTACAATAATGGAGAAGAATGGATGGTTGCACTTTACCTATTCAAGAAAAAATGAAGTCTTCTAAGCTCAACTTGTTGGATGGTGAGAAATAAGGGAAGAAAAAGTGTCCATGTGATTGGATGAATAATCATTGTTTGAATGTGATTGTACTTTTCAGAAGCTGGTGGAAAACCTGTATTGTTGTGCTACTGGTGAATGTCTTATGGAATGACATTATTGTCCTTTTTCTTGTCTTGGAAATTACTTGTCCTTCAGAGCAGGAAAACCTACCCTTGGAGTTTTTCTGAGAAGTTTTGAAGGAAAATGATGTTATGTTTACCTTCTAAAAAAAAAAAAAAAAAATTTGATATTTTGTTTGACTTCAGAGAGTTTGTAGAGAGAAACAGTGGGTGAAGATTTTATATATACGTTCAAAAACTGTATGTATATCTATTTATAACAGTATATGCATCTAGATCAATATATAGAGGTGAATGTTTGAGTCCAATGAAGAACGGACGATGAATTTATGGAATGCTCCATTACGTTATTTGCAGAATCACTGACTCACAGCGTTTTGTTTCATTCGTTTGGACTAAAGCGGAATTTAAGATGCTAGAATATGAGTCAAATTGAAGAAATTACAAATAGTAAATTCCAAATCTCATGAAATTTAACTACTTTTCATGGCATTTTAAAGCACTACAATTTGGAATTATTTGAAATATTGCGGACAACAAAAATTCCATTTTAAAATCTAATTTCGTCGATGCAAGTCTAACCTGTCATCATTTAAAGGAGACTGTATCTGCACAAAAAAATCTACAATTTGAACTTTCTCGTCATCAATTTTGCCAGAAGATGGCCCCTCGGAACCCAAAAATAAAAACTGGACATGGGCATATACCCTCTCCATAATAAATTTATATTCAAGTACAATGCAAAGGAGCAATTGAAGAAAAACCCTATTTTAGAGTAATTGAAACCATCATACATAATCTAATCCCATTCTTATGGGCTTTCGGTTTTTCTCTCCTGCCTCCATATCCACAATAGAAGTTGTTAGCTGTTCGTCCCCAACAACACTGGTTTTAAGATTAGACTCTAGTATCACTCGTCCAAAAAAAAAGATTGGACTCTAGTATCACAACTTAAGCAAACAGAGATTCTTTGCTACCTAATAACTGTCAAGTAGAGTGGATTGAAGTGAGTAAGCACACAATAGCAGCAAAAGGTAGCCAGCCCACAAACACGCGCCATTGCCAAAATAGCTTGTAATATGCCTGAAAAAGAAACAGAAGGCGGTCAGTCAGTAATTGCAAAAATCCTACTTATTGTTTCAAGTAATAGCAAATTTCCTACTTTTTTTTTTTTCTTAACCTTGGCAAGAAACACATTCACTCACTTTAAGGACTTGAACCCTCAAACTTCTACTTAGAAAGGTGATGAAGTATGGCTACAGCCTTTGGTTCCTACTTATTGTTTCAATGTCGGAATCATCTTGCAGTTATTAAAAGTTCGAAGTTGAATCCTTTTGGCTTGTCTCACACTAAAATCCACTCATAAGGTGCTGCACAGGAATCCCATTCTAGGTAAAAATTCTAGTGGTTCCAGAGATTCTAGGCCCAACAGAACCAGGATCAGAAAGTTTTCCCTCTTCCACCTTAGAGGCAACTTCGTATTTATTATAAGTAAAAAGTTGCACCAAAAATCAGGAGGACGTACTATGCATGCACGAGGTATACAAAAACTACACACACGGATCATGGAAAAAAAAAACTATTTATGAATACGAATCTCCAACCTTCAAAAGTACACGTATTCCTCTTTCACCAAATACATCACATAAGACAAAAGAGGAACCAGATCTCACATCTTCCCAACTCTAGACAGCTCTCTGTCACGCCTTGCCTATGGAGGTTGTGCCACGCAGGCGACACGCAAACGCTGAGGAAGACGCTGCATGGCAACTAGATGACGAGTGGAGTTTCTAGAGTCTTCCGGAGTTGTCTAGAATTGTGTGGAAGATTCTAGATATGTGTAGTATATTCTAGAATTCTTCAGAATTGTGTGGAGTAGTATGGAGAGTTCTAGAATGTTATGGATACTAGTAGATAAGTATGGAAGTGTGCAGAAGGTGGGAGAAGATTCTAGAGAATCGATCTCCACCGTTGGTTAGAATGCATCCTAGCCATCCATTAGGGATGGGGATACCTATAAATAGAAGTAGGACTTCATTTTGTAGCCAACAAGTCCTAGAGTGAGTCTTGAGAGCCTTGTAGAGAGCTTGAGTGTTAGCCTTGTACAAAGCATTCTTTGAAGTAATAGAAGTGTTCTTTCCTTGCCAACTTAAGTACCTTAGTGTGTGTGAGTGTGCAAGCCAAGTGAGGAGAAAGCGAGGGCCACTACAACACTAGTAAGCGCATGAGGGGAGTGTGTTAGCTAAGGTGTGCACGGGAGTTAGGCTGACCAAGCATTTGCGGGAGTAGAAGCAACGTCTTCGTGCCGCACGGGATTAGCTAGAGTGGTGCTGAAACTCTAAACCCGTGACAGTTGGTATCAGAGCCAGGTTCGTCAAGGGAGCTTTGTTAGAGTAGACATGGCTAGCGGAGGAAACCACCAAGTCCACGTCTTGGAGCAGAGCTTGGAGGAGAAGTTTGCCACACACTTAGTCTACACGGAGACCAAGAATAACAAGCTCGAGAGAAGGATGGCAGAGCTCTACAAACTGATTGATGGCATCGCCAACAAGGCACAAGAGAAGGAAAGGGACTTGCATGATCGGGTAGATGACTTGCGCATGGAGATTGCCGAGTGCAAGAAGGAGTTCTCCCAGGCGCGCGAGGTCGTGGTGAAGCCAAGGAAGAAGAAGGCGCCGGAACCCAAGGAGTATGATGGGGGCAAGGAATGCGCTCCAGATTGACAACTTCTTCTGGCACATGGAGCGGTACTTCGAGTGCATGGAGATCAAAGATGATGAGGAGAAGGTGCAGACAGGCACCATGTACCTCACAGACACTGCCGCTCTATGGTGGAGGCAGCGCTTCACCGGTAGAGGTGCAAGAGCGGTTGATACATGGGAGGAGTTCAAGAGGCAGCTCAAGAAGCAGTTCTACCCATAGTTGTTAAAGGCTCAAGGCGCACAAAAGCGCAAATGCCTCCTGAAGCCTGAGGCGCAAGGCGAAGCGCGCGCCCGACTGAAGCAAGGCGCACTTTGAAAAAAAAAACAAAACAAAACCCACCCAAGGATGTGATATATTTTCAAATCAAATCAATCTCATTTTTTTTGGTTAATCTTCAATTCAAAAGATTATTGGTGGCTGATTTCTGAATCAAAGGATCAATTATGGGTCTAAATTAAACATACAAAACTCTCAAAAACAAAAAATTCAATGATAATTTACAGTAGGGTTCGTGAGATAGGTGTCTTATAATCGGGAGCCCAGGATCAGCCAATTTATTTTTGTTCGAAGTTTGTTAAGAATTCTCCATGTTTCATCAGCTTAATTCTCACCAAAATCCATTAACATTGATTGAAACAAAATGGAAAGAAAGAACCATCCAAGTATGACCCATTTAGTATGTTTCAAAACCAAAAGAATATCATCAGTACTTAGAAAATTATGGATGGCAAATAATAAAGAAAAGAAAACTACAAAATTGGATTTCTTTTTATTATTTTTTATTTTTTATACACGTAATAACAACACTTGTGTTGTAAGACAAGTAATTACTTGGTGAAAACTTGATCATAGACAATATGATGGTGGTCCATCCGACAAATATACAATATGAAATGAACAACATATAAACATGTTAGACAAATAGAAACTTAGAATGGAAAATTAGTGATCATCAGTCGTCACAGTGAGTCCAGAGTCTAGAGTCCAGAGAAGAAAAGAAAAAAAATAAAATAAAAAAAGAAGAAAAATAAAAATAAATCTGCCAAAGACTCGGCCGAGAGAGCCGAGAGAAGAAAAGAAGAAGAAAAGAAGAGAAGAAAAGAAGAAGAAGAAGAAAAGAAAAAAAAATCTGAGACCGGTCACCGATCCGGCAGATCCGAGAAGAGGAGTCTAAGAGGAGAGAAGAAGAAGAAGAGAAGAAGAAGAAGAAGAAGAAGAAGAAGAAGAACTAACCTTAGATCCGGCAGATGATGCAGATCCGAGACCGAGAGTCGGAGTCCAAGTCGTCAGTCGTCTCGCTGCCTCTGTCAGTCTGTCTTCTTTCCTTTCCTTTTTGCTTCTCTTTTTTATTTTATTTTTTATGTTGCAACTTGTAGCTTTTCTTTTAACTAGTAACTAATAAAATAATATGATAATACTATAAACAATACATAAACAATAAACAAACAAAACCATGGAAACAAAACCATTTAAAAAACATTTGCAAGCAGGCGCCCCTGTAGCCTCGCGCTTGTGTACAAAAGGCGTACGCCTTCTCTCAACCATGCGCCTTAAGTCAATACAGGCGATGAGATGGCGCCTGGAGGCGCCTTGCGCCTCAAGCGCGCGCCTTCGGCGCCTTTGACAACTATGGTTCTACCCTGAGTATGTCGAGGACCTCGCCATGATCAACCTAAGACGTCTGAAGCAGAAGGGCAGCATAAGAGAGTATGTGAAGGAGTACTCCAACTTGATGCTGGAGATCCCAGAGATGCCAGAGCGGCAACACGTGTGCTTGTTCATTGATGGGTTGCAGTCTTGGGTAGCCACAGAGCTGAGAAGGAGGGAGCCTAGGGACTTGGCATCCGCAATGGCTATAGCGGAGCGCCTTGAAAACTTTAAGCGCGATGACAAGAGGGTCACGTCTCCCAGGTGGGACCACGACAAAGGTGGGGGAGACCGGCGCTTCAAGAAAGGGGGCTCGCCCAAGTCCAGTGATGATGAGCACAGCGATGAGGAGAGACGTCCACGCCATGATAAGGGCAAGGACCATGGAGAGAGGTCCAAGGCTAGTGGCAAAGGGGAGCGCCGCGATAAGGGCAAGTGGGAGCCGAAGTGCTACTTATGCGAAGGGCCGCATATATTGCGACACTGCCCCAACAAGAAGACCATGAGCGCCCTTGTGAAGGATATGGGTAAGGGCAAGGTGGATGATGCGGCCAGCGACAAAGACAGGTGAATGGGGGCTATGCAGATGCTGAGTAGCATGGCGCATGACACCAAGAAGAAGGGCAAGGCGAAGAAGGTAGCCGGGGTGTGCTATGTGGATGCGCAGGTTGGGCAAAGCCGTGCAAGCGTTAGTGGACACGGGTGCCACACATAACTTCAATACCCCGAAGGAGGAGCAGCGACTTGGCTTGGAGATGCGCAAGACGGAGGGCTGGATTAAAGCCGTCAACTTCGAGGAGGCACGCGTGAGCAGAGTGTGCAAGGAGGTGGAGCTATGTATGCAAGGGTGGAATGGCAAGGCCGACTTCCAGGTTGCAGAGATGGACGACCACGACATGGTGCTGGGGCTAGAATTCATGGACAGGAACAACGCCGCGCCACTACCATGCCTTGGTGCGTTGATGATACTTGGAGGTGAAGAAGGCAAGGCTGCATACATGGTGCCGCTCGTAGCCAGGAAGGAGAGTCCAGAGGTGGCAGTCAACACGATGGAGCTCGTGAGGACCTCACATCTCCCGAAGGGTGCTCATACATTTGGGCCAAGGACATATGCGCAATTGCTGATGACCTGCGAGAGGCTGGGTCAGCTGAAGAAACCGTGACGAGGGCGTCACGGAAATGGGTGGGGGACAATGTCACGCCCCGCCTATAGAGGTTGTGCCACGCAGGCGACACGCAAACGCTGAGGAGGACACTGCATGGCAACTGGATGACGAGTGGAGTTTCTAGAGTCTTCCGGAGTTGTCTAGAATTGTGTGGAAGATTCTAGATATGTGTAGTATATTCTAGAGTTCTTCAGAATTGTGTGGAGTAGTATGGAGAGTTCTAAAATGTTGTAAATACTAGTAGATAAGTATGAAAGTGTGAAGAAGGTGGGAGAAGATTCTAGAGAATCGATCTCCACCGTTGGTTAGAATGCATCCTAGCCATCCATTAGGGATGGGGATGCCTATAAATAAGAGTAGGACTTCATTTTGTAGCCAACAAGTCCTAGAGTGAGTCTTGAGGGCCTTGTAGAGAGCTTGAGTGCTAGCCTTGTACAAAGCATTCTTTAAAGTAATAGAAGTGTTCTTTCCTTGCCAACTTAGGTGCCTTAGTGTGTGTGAGTGTGCAAGCCAAGTGAGGAAAGGGCGAGGGCCACTACAACACTAGTAAGCGCACGAGGGGAGTGTGTTGGCTAAGGTGTGCACGGGAGTTAGGCTGACCAAGCACTTGCGAGAGTAGAAGCAACGTCTTGGTGCCGCACGGGAGTAGCTAGCGTGGTGCTGAAACTCTAAGCCCGTGACATCTCGCTCCAAGTCCACATCACCATAGTTAATGCCCAAATTCCCACGTCATCAAAATTAAAAACTGATCTAGCTGAGAAACAGAAGGCGCCTTCTTCTTAATTGACCATGTAAAGCTACCCTCTTCAAATGGTTGATCAACAAAATTAGATATATCCTCATGGCCATGACAGATCACGAACAACCCAGCCTTCCGCACAAATGGATAAATAAGTCAGTCCAAATTCACCAAAATAAATCTCTCCCCAACCACCAAATCCACCCTCAACTCCACCTTAGAATCCACAACCCTATCACCCACCACTTTCCTAGGATGCTGTCTTTCATAGTTTAAATTGCAGTGTATCTCTTCATTCATATAACCCAGACTAAATCCATCAGAAGACAAGGAAAAAAGAAAGACTCTGATTCCCTTTGCAGGGGAGGGTGGGGAAGAAGTAAAAGAAGAAGAAAATTTGAAAGAGGAAAGAAAAGAGAAGAGAGAGAGAAAAAAAATGTGTAATCCTCTTCATGAAATTATTTGGTCATTAATTCGAGAGTTGTACTGTATAACAACTTGTGAACAAAATTTGTGTCAAAATAAGCTCTGCAAAAATCCACATTTAAGCAACATAATGTTTCCAAAACAAATCATATTCCCTTTGGACAAAACTGTTATAGAGAACTACGAAAATTCAAGCACACTTTAAATTCATTTTAATTTCTGCCAAAGAATCGTATATGCATTAGCTAAGAAGGGATGGGAATGTAACCAACTGTGTCATTCGAAGAATACATACTTTAGGTAGACATCATTATGTAATTCTCTGCAACTAGTGGTACCATACTAGGGTTAAAATATAACTCATGCCCAACAAAATTACGGAGTAAAAAACCATTGCAATAAAAGAATATATGTGTTAACTTTCCAAAAGATGTTGAAAATGTACATTAAAATAATATCTTGTACTCGTATATAAAGGAAATAGGGAAAGCTATAAAAGGAAAAGAATAAAAAATCTTCCTACAAATATGTTCCTATTTTTTTTTTTTGATAAGTAAATATGTTCCTAATTTAAAGCGATCATATTTTACTGCAATCAATCTGTCCTACAATCTTGTTCTAATTTACAATAGTCAGAAATCAATCAAATCCCTAATATAAAGGGAAAAATATATGTCTTCCAACACTCCCCCTCATGCTGGAGCATAGATGTCTCGAATGCCCAGCTTGTCAAGTGCCAAATTGAAATTCGTACTTGACATTCCCTTTGTCAAAAAATCTGCAAGCTGATGTTCTGTCTTCACAAACGGAGTGCAAATTAATCCACCTATCAACTTATCCTTCACAAAGTGTCTATCCACTTCAACATGTTTAGTACGATCATGCTGAACTGGATTGTGAGCAATGCTAATGGCAACTTTGATAACACAGAAAAGCTTCATTGGATCCCTAGAACTAAAGCCCAACTCCTTTAACAAAGCCTTTGGCCACAACATCTCACATATACCATGAGCCATCGCTCTAAATTCTACTTCAGCACTGGATCTGGCCACAACAAATTGTTTCTTACTACGCCACATGACTAGATTCCCTCCCACAAAGGTGCAGTATCCTAAAGTTGATCTTCTATCTATTACACATCCTGCCCAATCAGCATCTGTATATCCTTCCACTTCGAGATGACCATGGTTGGAAAATAGAAGACCTTTCCCAGGAGCTGATTTTAAATACCTAAGAATCTTGTGTACAGCCAACATGTGTGTTTCACAAGGAGCATGCATGTACTGACTTACTACACTCACCGCATAGGCTATGTCAGGGCGAGTATGTGCCAAATATATTAGCTCTCTAACCAACCTTTGGTATGTTTCTCTTATATAGGTATATCTTTTGTGCATTCACCCTGTAATTTTGTTCAATTAGAGTATCAACAGGTTTGCAAACCAACATTCCAGTCTCAGCCAATAAGTCTAAGACATATTTTCGTTTGGAAACAAAGATCCCTGCTTTGACCTAGCAACTTCAATACCCAAAAAATATCTTTTGTGCATTCACCCTGTGATTTTGTTCAATTAAGTATCAGATATGCTTTTAGCTTACCCGTCTTTTCACCATCGCTACCAGCCCCCACAATATCATCCACGTACACGATCAAGGCAGTAATCTTACCTCCAAGTGAATGTATGAGAAAAAGAGTGTGATCCGACTGGCTTTGGTGGTATCCATATTTCTTTATGGCCTAAGTAAATTTTGCCAAACCAAGCTATAGGTGACTGCTTAAGTCCACACAAGGATTTCCACAATCTCCATACCTTAACTCTTTTAGAGGGATTAACAAAGCCAGGAGGAAAGTCCATGTATACTTCTTCCTCTAGATCTCTGTGAAGAAATGCATTCTTCACATCAAACTGTTGAAGAGGCCACTCTAAATTTGCAGCCAAGGATAAGAGGACCCTTATTGGATTTATCTTCGCCACTGGTGCAAATGTTTCATGATAATCTATCCCATAGGTTTGGTTATAACCTTAGCTACCAATCTTGCTTTGAACCTCTCCATTGAACCATCTATCTTATGCTTCACTGTGAAAACCCATTTGCAACCATCATCTTTCCCTCTGGTAGCTCAACAAGTTCCCATGTATAATTTTTTTTGTAAAGCTTCCATTTTTTCAATCATGGCAGCTTTCCACTTGGGGTTGTCAAGAGCTTCCTGTAACTTATTAGGGACAAACACGAGTGATAACTGGTTTGCAAATATTTTATAAAATGAAGATAAACGATGTGAAGACACAATGAGATATGGGATAGTTTACAACTGAAAAACCAAAAATGAGAGGGAGGTTTTCTTTCTCGAGTAGGATAACGTTCCTGATTCTTAGTAACTAATTCAGTAGCATCATGTGGTTGATCAAGTTGATCAATAGGTAAATGAGCCCGACTCATTAATAGAAGTATCAATAAAGAGTTTAGATGAAGGAACTACCTCAGGATTACCAGTCACAGGAGTGTTTAATTGGTCATTGGGTCGATCAAGAGGTGGCTGAGTTGTCTGCGTCTTCTCCCTGCTTGAGTATACAAATCTGTGTAGCTCAAGGAATTTCTTCGAAGTTGGTGCAGAATTTTCAACAGATTCCTTTGAAGTCGATGCAGAAGTTTTAATAAACGATGATACGCTGGTTAATGGTAGTGGCAACACCTCCCAAGACTTCTCTTCATTTCCCAAATTCTTCCCCTTAATGGTAAGCCTAATTTATAACAAAAGTAACATCCATGGAAACAATCATCTTTGTTGAAAGAGGGTGATAGCATCTGTATCCCTTTTGTGTGGCAAAATACCCCAAGAAAATGCACTTGAGTGCTCTCGGATCCAGCTTACTCCGGTGTTATTTGTGGATATGAGTATAACAAACACAGCCAAACACTTTGGGTGGAATGTGAAGTAAGAGTTGGAATAATGTGTGTTTTGGATAATGTCTAAAGAGGAGTTTGAAACTGAAGGACTTTTGAAGGCATTCTATTAATGAGATATGCTGCAATAAGGACAGCATCTCCCCAAAAAGTTTTAGGAACGCTCATAGCAAAGTGTAATGACCTAGCAACCTCGATGGTGAATCTTACGCTCTGTTACTTCATCTTGCTAGGGATCAACACACGAAGTTTAATGAATGATGACATGAGCTTGAAAATATATATTAAGCCCTCTCTTAAAATACTCCCCTCCAATATCTAATCATATAACCTGTGCTCTCGTGTTAAACTGGGTCAAAACCATTTGGTGAAAGGATTGGAAAAAACATCATTTTTTTCTTTCAACAAATAGATTCATGAAACACGAGTGCAGTCATCAATAAAGGAAACAAACTATTTAGAACCTAAATGATTAGGAACATGGGATAGCCCCCACATATTACTGTGAACAATTGAGAAAGGCACGGAATTTTATTAAAACTTGAAGGAAAAGAAGTGCAATGGTGTTAGGCTAACACACAACTATCACAATGAAAATTAGAAACATCAATTATGGAGAATAAAGATGGAAACAACTTATGCAAATAGCTAAATGAGGGTGTTCTAATCTTTTGTGCCATAGACAAATGTGATCTTCTGATGTTGACCTACCAACTATTTGATTTGCTTTTCCATTTGAAGCCCAGTTCATATCCAAGTAGTACAGACCACCTCTTACTCCACCAAGACCAATCTTCGCTCCCGTAAGAAGATCCTGAAAGAGTCAATGAGTATCAAAGAATGTTACGGAACATTTAGGAGCCTTAGTAATCTGACTAATGGACAATGGGTTATCAGATAAACATGGAACATGTAAGACACTAGAAAGAGACATAGAAGGAATCATTGGAATGGAACCTTCCCCAAACACAATAGAAGTAGATCCATTTGTTGTTTTAACGCTCTTTGTACTAGGATGAGTGCAATAAGAAGAAAAAAATCTAGATTCATGTCTCATATGATCAATAGCACCCGAATCAATAATCAAAGACAAAATTCTCCTCCAACTGAGTAAAGAAGGAAGGTTCAGTATCCGCCGGCTGTTTCTTCACTCCTGTCAAGCACTCCAACTTTCCCTTTCCTGTGATGTACAACTTCACAAATTGGGACCCGACAGAATAATTAATACCATCAAGTTCGTAAAAAGTCATTTACACACTCATAATATCAAGTTGATTTGTCATGTCGCAATGAAGGACTGGGCGGTATTGTACTAGAATCAGAAGATTTAGAGGTAGCGACAGACATGTTTCGATGTCTATGGTGTTTAGAATCAAGGCTTTAGGGTGTTGTCCAAAAGACAATTGCACACAAAGAGAACAAGAACAGGAGGACAAGAAGAATAGATCAGCGGTAATCGCTCAGGCCCGTGAAACTTTTCCCTCTTTCTCACACTATTGCTCTGATACCATGTAGAAATTTTCTCTCTGTAAAATATTCTACACTTCATTATATAAAGATCAATATATATATATATATATATATATATATATATATATATTCTACATTTTATATTAACATCTTGTACGAGTATATATAGGAAATAAGGAAAGCTATAAAAGGAAATGAATCATAAATCTTCCTACAAAAATGTTCCTAATTTAAAGCAATCATCAGTCTAGCCTATTTTATTGCAATCAATCTATCCTACAGTCTTGTTCTAATTTACAATAGTCAAAAATCAATTAAATCCCTAAAATCAAGGGAAAAAAATATATCTTCCAACAATAGTAGCATGGTAAGGCATGAACAAATTTAACATTCAAGCATGCAAATCATTTGCCTTATCTGCCATTTTATTTGAATCCGACCCTGATGAAATCGGATGTACTAATACTACTTCATCTAGAGTCGTAAGATATCTTCCATTAGGACTCTGTTTATGAGGCTTCAAATTTTCCCTCACTATTTTCAACCATATGAGTTTGGTTGCTTCAGTGTCTTCCAAGAACCTTCAGCAAGTGTTAAACTGAATCTTAGCATTTTTGCATTAAGTTTTTGTATGAACTCTTTTTATATCATCAACATGGATGAGCACTCAACTTGCAGATCTTGCCTTTAGAATGGATCCACAATCAATCCTCCAATTTTGAAAGTAAGTCAGAGACAAATTCACCCATGTATGAGTATATTATTGTGAACTGCAAGGGTTCAAAACTAACCACTTCTGACATTTTTACACGCTAGCTAACATAAACAGAAAACACAGCACTGGCTAGCTGCCAACCTGTCTAACTTCAAATGTCAAAATAAAATATGATATGCACAAGGAACATAACCAGAGACCTAAATAAAAGATCATAGGACTGAACCACCATCCTATAACAATTCCTAATACTTTCTTTCTTTCATTTACTTTGTCTAGATGCATATAATGTGTTCCTCAATATGATAATATATATGATATGGTACAAATGTCTATAGGTATATCCATAAGCTCTATGGAAAAGCTCTGACTCTCATAGCATTTCAACGCAACACTGTTCTCTCTCCCACTCCCTCTCACCACACTCTAATCACTAGGTTCCTAAGTCCTATTTTATACCTTTGTTTCTAAAATTACGTTCTCTTTGTCTTCAAGATCCTCATTCCACTCAAATACACTTACAAACCCCTCTAAAGAAAAAACAATTCCACCATACTGTTCCTAGGTAAACAAATAACTTAATTTTATGACTACAACATATATTTCAAAAAAGAGCTATGGGGACCTATACAAATCAAATGTTATATAATGCTAAAAACCAAAAATGCAATGCAATCCACAATTTAATCAAAATTTTCATAATTGTATCTTACAGATGGAACAGATATTATTCTCTTTGTCTTCAAGATCCTCATTCCACTCAAATACACTTACAAACCCCTCTAAAGAAAAAACAATTCCACCATACTGTTCCTAGGTAAACAAATAACTTAATTTTATGACTACAACATATATTTCAAAAAAGAGCTATGGGGACCTATACAAATCAAATGTTATATAATGCTAAAAACCAAAAATGCAATGCAATCCACAATTTAATCAAAATTTTCATAATTGTTTCTTACAGATGGAACAGATATTATTTAGAGACCCCAATGGGACTTCTAAAATCAGCTTGATTGGTCTGGTCAATTATGCCTTCGGCTTCTAAGAAGCGACTCAGATGCTTATCGTCCAAATGTTGCTGCAAATAAATAAAATATGAATTAATAAATAGATGGATTTTTTGTAGTTGTTATAAACTTTTTACTGAACATATAATTATTACAGGAAATCAAAGCAAGTGAGAGTGAAGACAACTTACTGAGAGACAATCTCTGTATTTCTGCCACTCAGAGATGCACTCCTCTTTGTCCCAATGACCCTTCAAGAACTTCTCTGAATACCACCTGTTCGTGGTACAATTAGAGTGAGAAATTAGCTTTAGAAAAGCACGTATCTTTACAAACATGAAACCCTATTCCTGTGAATAGTTAGGTATATACACACACATGTACGTATGTATATATGAATGCATCCAAAATCCTCGAAAGAGAGTGAAGGCGGTCACCTGTTGAAACAATTGTGATAAGCGTCTCTGAGCTGGGCGCAAGGAGATGTTGATGAAGAAGAAGAATGAGGGTTTCTCTTCTCAATCTCAATCCCCATACCAGATTTTTCAACTCTCCAACAATTGCACCAAAAATAAAAATAAGTATTTAGGAAACAACCACGTTGACTTTGTAACAATCAATTTTCTCCTCTTTCAAAAAAAAAAATAAAAATAAAAAAAATCAATTTTTTCCTCTCCCCCGTTTCTTTCTCTGCAATTCTACTTTTGGGTGCAAGTTGTACGACAAAGACTTTAGGTTTGGCAAAAGGATCCGGTTTTGATTCAATCCGACCCAACAGGATATGAATAGAATATTTAATTAAATAATTTCAATATAAACTATGATGATCCATTCGCATCCGACCAATAATAATTGAATCTGATATAATATATTACTGTATAATATTAACCTTATGTTTAGTACAATGAAAAAATAAAATAAAAATAACATTAGTTTTAGATATGTGTGAAAATTTTTGTTCACAGTCTTGTTGACTTACGTGTATTATATTAAACAGGTTAATATTAATTCGACCTGTTTAATAATCGTGTCACGGACATTCAACACTAACCTGATTGATTTATTAAACAGGTTACGCATGTTAATGCTCAGCTATCTGTCAAATTTAAAAATTATATTATTTAAATTATTTATAATCCTCAATTAAAAAAAGAAAATTAAGCCAGTTTGAAGAATTTATAAATATAAATGGGTTTGGATAGAGAGAGAGCTAATGAGTGTTGTGGGAAGAAGGGACCGTGTATATATAATGTAGTGTGAGAGGCTGAGAATAAAGGGGTTGTGATGTTCTTAGTTCGCAAAAGAATAGAATCAGGTTCTGGCAAGGATGGATCCAGAAACTCAACTACGAAAGGGGGCGCAATACTGAATTTTTAAAATAATTTCAAAGGGGGCAAAATGTAATATTTCGTAAGTATATATATATCATAATGACAAAATAGTATGGTAAAATAGTGGGGGAAAAAAAATTAGAGGGGCCAATTGCCCTCACTAAAGTGTACATGGCTCCATCTTGGGTTCTAGTGTTCTTAGCCCGAAAAATAATAGAAAAGTGAAAGAAGAATTGAATGAAAGAGTGTGTAGAGTTTTGACATGTGTAATTGTATATACTCTTTCTTAATTATAATAGTCGAATCTATCTCTCTATAAAAATAGTTTTAGTGTTGTGTGAACTATGTAAAATATTGCGTTGTGTGTAGATGTGTATGATTGTTGTATTTATATATATGTGTTAATTGATGTGATGATGATGTTTCCGCTATATGTTATGAATGGGGACTTTAACTCTTAAGAACGATCGACAGTTCAAATGTGTTGATAGGAGTTACTATCCCGAACAATATATACACACACACACACATATTACTTCAATTTTTTTAGTGATAATCTGATAACATTTATTTGACTATCTATTGTCCAAATGCAAGCCGAAACATTCACAAAGTTAACTAATGCTTGTTCCAGATTCATTCATTGCTTCTGCTGGAGAAAAGAAGTTTACAATCTAGGGTCCTTCCACCTCCACGCGGTATTGCTCCGTCTGACTTTTGTCCATTATGGAAAGAGTAATGATGTTCTCTCCAATCATCTTGGCTGAATAATAGTCAACTCCTATGTGGCAAAACCACGTCATCCGCACGTTTTTCAATACTACTCTTTTCGATTTCCTTCTCTCCCTCTACATTTCTGCCTCTCTTATTTCTCATCTATATCTGCTCTGGTTCATCAATTATTTCCTCTTCTTTGGCTTACATTCGGGCTCCCTATCTTCCATTCGCAAAATTAAAGGAAAAACAATAAAATTCCTTCTCTGGAGGGTTCGTTTATATTCTCCTCGTTTAATCGATTTCTTCATCTCTTTCTCTCAATTCGATTTTGGCTCGATCTCTCTTGCAAAACAGCAACCCTCTATAAAAAGGATTGTGTTGCATAATTGGCCATAGATTCTTGTTGAACAGCAAATAGAAAAGTATATATAGAACATGGAGGAAAATCATCAAACTCCGAAATCCCCTATGCTGATGATCTTTACTTTTCTGTTATGTGTGACCAATAAGAGATCTTTCCAATTTTAGATGAAAAATATGAAGATTTGTTGTTGTTATAATAAGCTCTATTGTCCTTAGCAATCTCTTAAAGAATTAAAATCAATATACTATAATCGGACAGCAACATTAACCAAAAAGAAAAGTTAACTGATAGAAGAGAAAGTGTTTAATTTTTTCAAAGCTTTTGTTTCATTTGTATGGATACAAAACCAGCAAAAAAGGTGTTCAAAAACTTTTACTTCCCTCAAAGATGGAGAAAATTATTAGAAGTGTACGATAAACAGTGGTAATATATTATTATTTGTTATAAAACAGATGTTCCTTGATAGAATTTTCGTCTGTATGATAGACATGTCATTACTTAATCCTTGGTTTGGTTGAAACTAAAGCTTCTTATATATAATCATTGTGATACATATTTTTAATCTGTTTTGGGCCAAATGATTTAGTGTATCATCCGTTGATTAATCTCTGATTCCCTGTCAAAATGCTTCTCATGGCCATCCCTATGATTGGTTTTTATTACAATATTGCATATAAATAAGCATAAAAAATAAAAAATTAAAAAATTAAAAAAAAAGGAAGAAGAAGAAGAAGAAGAAGAAGAAGAAGAAGTATAAACTTCTATGTTTTTCATGTTTTGATAAAAGAAAAAAAAAGAAAAAAAAGAAAGGAAATTATAGTAATTTTACGCTTCAGTGAAACAGAGGAGATAATGTTGAGAAAGCGAGAGAAACGAAGGGGAACAAAGAGGAAATCAAAAAATAACTAAATAAAATGCAACAAAAGCCGAAATCCAAGGCAACGGAATGTTACCATCTGCAGAGGCTTTTCGCTGTCAATGCCACAATGAAAGATCAATCAATGGTAGCGACAAACATTAGAATCGATCGGACGAGGTTTAATTTTTTAGTTTCATTATTTGGAGTAGATCAAATTTGAGAGTTGAGATCTTTAGTCTTCCGTGTGTTTTGATTGTCTTGTATTGATCCGAACAAAAACCCTAATTTTTAAAGAGCTATTTTTTATATGAGAGGAATACAATCTTATAAAGATAAGAGAATGAAGGTCTCTGACATGGTAAATAAAATTTATGGGATGTGGGTATGCCATATAAGAATTGGATTATTATTCAGACAAAATGGTCTAATAGAATGAAAGAGTGTGTGGAGTTTTAACTTGTGTGATTTTATATTTTCTTTATTTATTTATAATAGTCGAATCTATCTCCCTATAGAAATAGCCTTAGAGTTTGGTGAACCATGTAAAATATTTGCATTGTGTGTGAATGTGTATGATTGTTATATTCATATATATTTGTGATGAATGAGGACTTTAACTCTCAACAACGATCGACCATTCAAATGTGTTGATAGGAGTTACTATACCGAACAACACACACACACACACACAACACACACATACACATTACTTCAAATTTTTTTTTTTTTATTTTATAATATGATAACTTTTATTTAACTACCTATCGTCCGAATGCAAGCTGAAGCATTCACAAAGTTAGCTAATGTTAGTTCATGACATATTCATTGCTTCTGCTTGAGAAAAGAAGTTTAAAATCTAGGATCCTTCCACCTCTACGCGGTATTGCTCCATCCGACTTTTGTCCATTGTAGAAATTATTCCATGAATAGTTAATAAACAAACACGGATTACAAAAGATTGATGAATAAATAATAAATAATAAAGCTGAAATGAAACTAATAATAAATTCTCTAAAATAATATCCCAATAAAATAATCCACCAAATACTCTGATACCAATAATCATCTAGATTACAACTCGGGAATCCATAATGTGGACCTCTAATAAAATCCCAACTAAATCAAATAACTAAAATAAAACGACTAAATCAAAAGTTTGAAAACACAAAATAGAATCCTACGTAGATAATCGGAAAAGTGATGAAGACTGATCTCTGCTCTGCACGAACAATCTCTACATTTAACGAACACCTGAAAAATAATAGTGGATCAAACTCACGAACAAGTTTACTCTACTACATTTCAAGCAAAGACTCGATACAAATATACATCCTAGTAAACTCATACAATAATTATATATATAGATACACACTAAAGGACTCTCACTGGACCATAGGGAGGTCTCAACCGAATAGTAAGTAACATGCAAAACGCACACATAGTGGGCATGAGTATCATGATCGACCAGGGCACACACATATCCACTATATCCAACTATACATCCCAGACAATATACATGTCACGACCCTACACCGTAATCCGGGTTGTGAATATAAAACAGAACAAAGAAATACTCGTATTCAAAAATGTCCGACCGAGCCCTGGAACAATGTCAAAAAAATTTTAGATAAAACTTTAATACTCAGGGCTGATAATAAGAAAATCCCTTGTTTTAAAAGTCATGTTAAATAAAGTACCATGTCCCAACACGCACACACAAAATCTACTTCCCTGTCCACACATTATCTGAAAATATAAAAATAGGTTTCATAATTAAAATCCCATAACCCTTTAATTACAATATTTCAACACGATTTGTTTTGGAAAAATATTTACAAATATACATGTTGGTCTCAAAATATACATTTCTCATTTATACAAAGATATATAACCAAATAGAACCCAACATCCATCCATGACTGCGGAGGAATTTCCTCTACGACCTCTTGTCCATAACCTGAAAAAAATGTATATAAAATAGGAATGAGCAACCACAACTCAGCAGGAAATGCCTAACCACCACTCCTTAATACCCCCATGAATCCAAACAAAGAATAGGAATCAGAAAGGAGGTCATACAAATCAGGGGAAAATGATCATCACATCATCATGCTATCTCACAAAACAGTCAACACAGAAGAATATGAAGTACTATATACACAGAGTCTAAACCATTTCCCTTAATACAACTTTCTATACAAAGAATCACATTTCTCATTATCACAACCATCAGTCTAAAGGTATGCCCCTGTACCGTGAAAAGACTATCCCTCTATTAATACCTAAGGAACCCTTTAGTATTAATGATTTATTGCACCTAGACAAAAGGATAACCACTCATGTCTAATCATAAACACAAACTGAGAATATTCATCTACTATTACTTTATAATTACCACATTTTTTCCAATAAATCTCTTAGCTGGTCATATGCTATGCTGGGAGAAAAATAACCACAATATC